TGTATTATAAAGTTATAAATAATGTAGTCAACATTGTTTGTAAGTATAAAAAAGAAGTCTAATAAAATATATCGTAAATTTGTTCCCTATTACAAAATATTTATAAAGTTCTTCAATGGAAACTGGAACGTAACTGCGGTTTTTAGAATCACTGAATGGATTTTGGACATCCTTGTAGAGTCCACAATGCAAATAATAAAGGTTGAAAATACTGACCTTACACTATGTAATTGAAATATTTAGTCAAAGAAATTTGTGATTAGTTCAGAAGATCTTGGCAGACAGATAAATGTAAGTTAATATTATTATCAACAAAGGATAATCATCTCGGAGCTCGAATCTGTAAAAAAGTCTTTTTAAGTTCTCGATATATCGTTGATCCATTGGTGTTGACTTGTAACATCGAAAATTTGGGGATGCTTTTTGGTTTCCTAGCTTGCTCAAAACTATAAAATGCAGTATTCTACTTGCGAGAAATCGCATGAAACATTTGAAATATTGAAATATTTTTTAAAAATCAAACATAATGTTTTGCTGAGTTCGACTTAACCCGGACAAAGTTTCTTACTGAAGTCAAAACCTGTCGGTTCGAACCATTATAGCCTTTAGTTATGATTTATGTATAATTTTATTTTTATTTCATTTTAACAGAACATTCAGCAACAGTTGGGCATCGATGTTTTCATCTGAAGCATACAATTTACATCCGAACTTACATCCCTCCCTAAACTCGTTCTGTTCACTATCTGTTACATCATTGAAGGTTTTGGGTTTTTGAAAATGAGTTCTGAACGCGAGTACGTTACTGTCTCTAGGAATTGCGTTTCTAATGAAGTCAATAAACAAATGCAAGAACGTGCAGGCACAGACAAACAAACAAACAAACAAACAAATGAAAAAATATATATCTTTTCAAGTCAAACACTCGTCGAGCTACTACTAATTGGATAGCACGACAACGGTGTACATATCTGTAACTTCTATATACATATGCATGTACATATGTGTGTATGTATGTGTGTAGTTAGGTACATATATATTTTGGGATAGTGATTTATAACCTCGAAACGCTATCGACTGCATCGGGGACAGCAACAATGAAAACAGCAGAGAGTGGATGACCAGAAACGTGTGTATGTGTGTCTGTGTGTGTGGTGTGTGTGATAAGACGGCTAATAAGAGACGACAAGAAAATACAGAAGCATCGGGAAACGTTGGGACAGTTTACCTGCGTGGTTACAGCAAGAAATATACAATGTGTAGGGAGTAGAGATAAAAGAGCAACCTAGGCACACACACACATGCACTCACAATTTACACTCACAATGCACACATTTTCCTGCTGTCCGAGCGCGCAGGTAGAATGAAGAAAAAAAAAAACGTCAAACTGGAAATGGAATGATTGTAAATGCGTAGCTATAAAGCCGGGATCAATGAACTATGCCGAGTCCGAGTCCCCGGGACAGTGCTGCGTTACTTTTTTCTTTCCAATAAAATGCATTTTAGTTGCCATGGCAAAATAAATTATGAAATGCCTATTATGTTGCACGTTTCTGATGCGACCGCAGCATTTGTAATGGGCAGGGGGTAGGGGGTAGGGGAGAACAGCAGCACAGGTAACCGCAGGTAGTTGTGGGCTTCGGTCAGCATATGTGTAAGTTGTGTGTGCGTTTGCTTCCACTTACCCATCTAATTGGCTCGGTAGACTGAGATCTAATTATGCAAGTAAATGCAACTAATTAGAATTGATAAAGCAAAGTATGTGTGTGTGTGTGTGAGGGGGTGGAGGGTTGGTGTGTGCGTGTTAGTAGGGATGCTTAGGGGTGTTGGCAGGCACTAATGTATATACGGGTACATATACTTTTATATAAATGTGTATGTAAAGCTTTTTGTTTTATTTTTGGGGGTGAGTTATATGCACCACTCTCTACTACCCCCCACCCCTAGAGCAGTGGTAAAAGTTGCAACTCGGCTGAAGGAAGGAAGGAAGTCAGTGCAATTAAAAAAGCAGCAGCAAGAGCGTTGACGGGAACTTCGACGCTTTTGGTTGGGGGTGAAAAGTGCGCGCACACACACACACACAAAAGTACACACATACAAACATGTTCGTCTTCGTGTATGTGTGCGTTTAATTGTATTGCCATGCATGTTTGTGTGTTTGTGTGAGTTTCTGTTTGAGTAGCTAACTGCAAAAACCCACCCCCAGCAGTCCATACAAAGTGAAATGCAGAAAATTCAAAAGTTATTAGAGTTCATTGCATTTTCAAGCGAAGTAAAGCACACCAACACACACACACACACTCATAAACACACTCACTATGGGGGTGGGTGGTAATGACTCAAAACATAGCGAAGAGTGAAAAAAAAACACAACAACACAGTGAAACAGCAACAAAAACAACAGCGCTGAAAGCGCGCAAAAAAATCGTTATTTTCGGTCATGATGACACGTCCGAAGCCGCTACCCTCCTAGCACACACACACATATATAAATACATATACATACATACACACACACACATGTAAGTGCGGTTTCACAAACTAAAAGATTTATGCTCTGAAGGGGGTAAGAAATCGTATTGCTTAGATTAATACGACTAATTGAATGCAGCTTTTCACACACGGCAGTTGAATTGAGGAAAGCGCTCAGCGATACAGAAGGGTTGCTCTTTTTCCAAGCAACATACAAATTTCAATGTATGTATTAAAATATATACATATGTATGTACACGTAAACATGCATACATATTCACAAATATCTTACAATATTTGTTTTACAAAATGCACACATGTGATAATTTTCATAATTTGAATAAATGTATTTGTAAAACAGAAGTGGATTCATATTTTACACTACACATGGCTATAATAAAGGCTTTTCTTTAACAAATTGAAAAATATGCTATCATATGTTGTGGCTATCTATGTATATCTTTAAAATAAATACAAATGTTCATTTTTCTTTTAAACAAAATTAATGTAAGAGCTTGCCAAAAGTGCTTCTTATATTAATTAACTTTTAGCAACGACTAACAATTACATTATTTCTTTGTATATGTTACTTTTTTAGAGAGTCCTTTAACTACCTGCATTTTTCTGTTGATTGATTCTATAAAAAGCTTCTTTTTGTTCAGATTTCGTTTAAGAAACCTCTATATTTAAAATTAATCTTTAAAATGTTGTTCATATTTGCAGTTATATTAACTTTATCTGTATATTTTACATATATTTAGCGATCTTTGGTTTTAAAATTGCTCTAATAAAGTATTTTCGAAGCACTTATATTGACATCCAAGAGAAGCCTTTAGTTTTGGCAATTCTATAAAATTAATTTTTCGTACTCATTTGACTTTAGCAACCTATTCTAAAACTATTTTATATATTTTAAATCTACATTAAATGACATTGACTTTATTGACTATCTTCAAAATTATTTAATATTTTTTTACTTTTTACACATACATATATTGTACATATGTATATTGTACATATTGGACAAGTTATAGCTAATAGTTTACAATTTATTTTATTATTAATGAATATATGTATACATATTATATATTTTATTTTTAGGACTTAATCAAATAGGGCCTACAATTTCAAGCAGTTTTTAAGTTGAGAAGAAATAAACAAATATACTATCACTTTTTTACTTTAAATAAGAAACAGTTGCATATTGCAATAAAAATTAAAATATGTCTATGATATAGTTGCTAATCTCTGCCGATTGCTTTGGTACTTGTTTTTTGTTTTAATAAACACAGAAATGCATTTTTACTTTATGAGAAATATTCTACTACTTAGTAAATCACTCCAAGCAAGTCTGAATATAAATAAATTACGATTTTCGTATTTTATATATTTTACAAGTAATAACCACAGCATTGCCTACTGATCGAGTGTGTCCTAATAATGCATTCCTAATGAATTCAAAACCCAACCTGCATAATGCATTGCATCGCGAAGCAAACAGGGTCATTAATTCATAGGACCCCCCAACGCTTGTGTAGTGCATAAGGAAAAATGAAACGGCGCCGTTTTGCTGTGACGCCAGCAGCGGCGTCAACAGCAGTGGCAGCGGACAGAGCAGCAGCAAAAGCAGCAGGCGAAAATAAATCGATAAAAATAAAATAAATTTTTAGTGATTATGTTGTACATACAAACACACACACAGCAGGCAAGCAGCACATGCAGTTAGTCTGTTAGTGCGCGTGTGTGTGTTTGACTGAACGTATATACATTAGAGCTGGGAAATCTAGTTCTTTTTCCAATTATAGTTCCTTTTCAAAAGAGCGAACTTATCGTTTCTTTAGATATTTTAGTTCCTTTAATTTATTCGGTATTTTAGATTACTCATATTTTGTTTCTTCCGTTCCCCAAAATGGAATGTTTTAATTTGTTCCATAAAAACCAAGAACCATTTGCAATTAGAAAATATTGGTAGACCGACCAACGTATTTAAAATACAATACAGAACAATTAAAATAAAGCAAAAATTGTATTAGTTAACTTCTAAATGCATAAAAAGTAACTATTTGGCCAGAAAACGAAGAAATTCTCTTCCACAATTAGATACAGTACTATATTATCGCCTGATAGTTGTGTTATGTATTTAAATTTTGTTTCAAATAATTAAATCATTGTTTTCTTCGAAACTATAAAATAGATCGTTAGAAATGTACGATATCAAAAAAAAAAAATGCCGAAGTCTTTTAGCATATATGTGTATGTATGCTTAGAGTAACAATCTTATGGGAATGGCACCCAGCTTCAAGATCCTCTAATCTCACTAATATCGTGTTTTTCGTCTTATAATGATCGGTAGTTCAATGATTGAAATAAATTGCTAGAGTAACCAAACCTAATAGACTCGGTTTTAGGAACTAGTTCGGACCAGACGGGGCCGGGCTGGACTGACCCAACTCTAGTACATAAGTATATTTGTATATAGCGTATGTTTGTCAACATATGAATGTATGTACATATGTTTATTGACTTACCGTTGGGTACATTCTGATTGAAATGATTGCCATTAGTCTGATAGCGCTGCACATGATTATCAGCGCTGGCCGCAGCGGCGGCGGCTGCATTGCCTGGCGGCGTACCAAAGGCGCCCGGTGTTTGTGCATCAAATTTAGCGGCAAACTGATGTATGCCAGAGAATGGACCACCAAACGCAGAGAAATTCATCATTACAGTTTTTCACTGCACAGTTGATGGGACAGAAGACGATGAGGAGAGGGAGGATGATCCTCGGCAATGGCACTAGCACTTAAACTCACTCACACACACAATTCACTTCACTTAGCAGCTGTAGTAGTGACTCACTCTCCACTCTCTACTCTCTCACAGATGCCTATTGGCGGCGGCCGAGTAGTTGTAAATTTTCACTTGCTTGGCAACACTTTCGCTTTTTCTGTTATGTTGTGCGTGGAGTGCTGTTGTTGTTGTTGTTTTTAGTAGCGCGGTTGGTAGCACTAGCACTGTAGGTACTTGCACTAACGGTACACGACCATGCGGTGATTTAATCACGACAGAACAGCAAACAAACTGAAAACGATCGAAATGAGGCGGCGACGGCCAAGAGTGGGTGGTTCTATGCTATTGTTGTTGTTGTTATTGCTGCTCTTGTAGTTGTTGGTGGTGGTGGGGGTGCTTGGTGGTTGGATTTTTTTGGTGTGGCGTGGCTGCACACACACACACACTCACACACACAGAGGCAAACACGTATGCGCGCGCGAATGTATGCTGCCTTTTTTGGGGGTAGCAAAATGTACAACTTTCAATTTCGCTTAAACTAAACACACACACAAGCAAATACACTCATACAGGCACGCAGGGTGCGCTGAGAGAAGTCGGCACACCACACACTACACTACACAACAACAACAATAATAATACAAAGTAGAACTAAACGAAAGTCACGCGTACAACACAGTACGACGGCGAAGAAAACACAAACCGGCACATCGAGGCTCCGACATCAAACTAAAAGTAACATTACAGCGAAAGAAAGCGGAAACACTGGGGCAATGAGCAGAGGCAGAACCAGAAGCAGAAGCAGCGACTGCGGCGGCGGCGGCGGCGACGACAGCGGCAGTCCAACAAATGACAGTGACAGCTCTCTTTTTTGTATTAGTTCCCAATGTAAGTGTGTGTGTTTCTATTCCTGTTTTGTGTGCGTGTGTGTGTGCGCGCGCTGTTTTGAGGGTGGAAGTTTTTCTACTTCTCTGGAAAATGCGTTCATTTGAACGCTCCTTATTACACTGCCTTTGTTGAATCAGCCATATGACACTATCTAGACGCTACACAAGATTAGCTGAAGAGTGCTAATGAATTACGCTATATGCATGGAAATTAATTATTAAAACAAACATATGTACATACATAACTGACATTCTTGAATTTTTCCCAAACTTATAAAAAAGGCAATAAATATTTGTAAAATGTCTAAATACAAAATAAAAAAAAGAAGAATAAAGCATTTATTCTTTAAAGTTATTTTCTTCAACATTTTAATTTTTAATTATAAATATCTGTTGGTTTTTTTCCAACTAACTGAAAAGCTATGATCAGCAGAATGTTAGCTCAATGCCCAGTCGACCACACTCGGCGATGTAAACACATACACAAATAGCCTCGCGTTTTTATTTGGTTTTCCAACTTTTGGGGTTGTGTGTGGCATGCCTGTTCGACGCCTGGCAGTCGCAGCGTACGACGAGCAGTGCATTCATATGCTTACATACATACATACAGAATATACACACATAGTCGTGTATGTTTGTGCATATGTATGTTTATATGTTGAATGCTCTGTTCGACAATCGGGCGAGTCTTGCATACAATGCTGCTGCCTTTATGTTTGTGTTAATGAAAGTGAGTGCAGCAGTAACTCAGTAGGACTTTGTAGAACTTCATTTCCTCAGTTTACATATAATAACTTGTTTATAAACAAATTTTTTAAAACCTATGCTATTACATACTAGAATACGATAAAATGCTGGCTTTTCGGAAAATGATAAATAGTAATGTAAAATTATACTTATGTTTCACAATTAAATTAATATTACAAAATACCGTGCTACCTAATCCTACTGGGTTAGCACATTTAGATATTCGCGTGTGTGGGTGTGTGCATGAGGAAGCCACCGCGACGCCAAAACGCTCTAATAAGAGAGCAAGAGCAGCCGCGAGTGCAGCAGCAGCAGCACAGCCTCAACGGCAGCAGCAGACAAAAGCAACAACAACACTCTCGCACATTTGTTTCTGTGCTGCAAGTGTTTTATTGTTTTGCCTGATGCGCTACAAGGGAGTACTCGGGCAGCGTAGGCTATCTGTAAACAAACTGAAACATATGACAATATGTTAAATCTTATTTTTTTATAAAATAAAAATACTCATAAATCTGGAAAAATATTCTTACTGAAGTCCTTCTCTGATATATGTATACATGAAATTTTGAAATTAAAAATTGAAAAATTAAACAATAGTTCTTGTTCTTTTGTAATTAGTAGGATATTAGACCTGGTATCTGACAAAAAGCCGTTTATTCGTTTTTATTAACTTTTCGTCAATATTTGAATAATATTGTTAAGTTAAAGTTTTATTTCAAATAATAAAAAGAACTACTTGTAGTTTTGAAATTATATTCTTCAAAAAAGCACTTAAGTACATTAAAATGTAATATATATATACAACCATATATATGTAAACAATTTTATTTAATATGTTAAGCTTAGGCAGTGTATGTAACTGTCGTTATGGCCCAATGTTGTTGATGGATTTTCCTGTTTTTCAATTTTTTTTTTGTCTTCCATTCGTTGACTTTTATGAGGGTTGGAGTCTCGGTCTCGACTTTCCATGTGTTTTATTTTTCCTTCGACACTCTTGCTCTCTCTCTTTCTCTCTCCACCTATCTATATTGCCTCTCATACCATGTACCGCTCCCTCTGCGACGCTTTGTTTAACTTGATTTCCGTATTCTTATTGTTCCATACGTTTATTTTTAATTTGTATGCATAATTTCGAATTATGGCCGTTGTTGTCTGCTCAGTTTGTCAATGTGTTTCGATTTGAGGGACAAGCCATTTCTTCCAAGTTCCGATCATATATGCCAATTTGATCGTGTTACTCATATAATAGCGATTGTCCCAGGCCTAGAAGCTTTCTTTCGTGATATGATTTCCCATATATACAATATTTATGTATTGTAGCTTGGAAATTACCCATAGCCTTAACCCATACTTCCTTCCTTCTTTCCTCTTCAGTTGTTCATTAACACAATTAACATACGCACATAGATATGTGTGTACATATGTATACGAATCGATTAGCAGAACTGTATATACATAAGTATATACATACATATGTATATAGCCCATACCTGCGACGTTTTGTTGAGGACTGGGGTCCTTCAAACCCAGCTCAACCAGGCTTAGTCCCAAATAAAAAATTGTTCATCTTTATGTTTATTATTTTTATTAATTATTATGACCTTTTTGTTGATGTTTTCATACCACTTATGTATGGAGAAAATTATATATCGGATAACACGAGAGGTGTAGATGTGAAGCTTTGCTAATTGAAATTGCATAAAATAAACATCTCCTCAAACCACAGCCTCAAACTTCAGCGTTTTCGGGTGTAACTCGCTTAAGTAATATATTGTCATAGCTATTTGGCAAATTAAACAAGTTCTGTATATATTATTTTAGTTATAAGTTCTATCTGAAGCTTAAAGTTAAGGCATTTGTGTGGGTTACGCAACTACCTGGCTGCCCAAGGAGGGATTTTTTGTATGAAAACATCATCAAAATAATAATAATATTGCATATATAGTATATAGAGATAGCCATATATGTAAGTTAATTATGTTGGGTTACATTTTAGAAATATACATACGTATGTATAGTATATAGAGAAATACTTTTATATCTTTCCATGTACCACAAAAAAGAGCACTCCAAAAACTACCGTTGCCGTTTGTGTATAATATAATATATATAGTTATATAAGTGGATTGTTTTACATTTACGTAATATCTTGACTGATTAAATTAACAATTTTTACTAATCCTTTGTAATATTTATTTGGCTTGGCTAACGAATTCTTACAAAATATTTGTATATAATTATACTTTGAATATAATATATATCAGAAAAGAAATATTTTCACTTAATAAAGCCATTTTCTTCTTTTTTTTTTGTGCAAATTTCTACACAGTGCTCACATAATAAATCGACACAAAAAATTACTGAATTTGTGATTTTCGTAACGCAAAGAAACATTCTTAAAAATGTATTAACGAAAAAAATACGTTTTATAACTTAAAAGTTAATATCACAAACAAATACATATAACAGCACAAATGAGTTAATGAAGCGAATGTAGAATTTCAAAAATCAAGATCCATAATACACTATATATGAGAGCATGTATATAGTTAAGCGAGATATATGATATAGATACCACATGGTAGAGTATTTTGCATTGAAATATTGATTTTAGCATTGCATATTTGGAAGAATATCAGAGTATATAGGGCCTTAGAGTGGATAGCCTAGGGCGGCCGAAAGCAGTGGTTCCCAAGCCCGATTTATATCAAAATATAATGTGGTGCATTGCTCAGCAAGCGCCTCATCATCGTCCAGTATGGTAATGGGAAAGAGGTCGTTCTGAAACATTAGAAATAAAGCCATAATTAATAATTCCACTCTATCAGGATGCTAGACAAATTCGCATTTCCGAATTCGTTTAAATTATGTGGAATCGAAATCTTTAAATGTGTTTAATTCCGAGCAAATAAATAAGTCCGCTATGCCATATATAAATAGAAACAATAACTTAATCGTTTTTTAGTCATTTGTCAATTTCGATCCCACACTATTCTATATTATTTTATTTTCGTACATTCTTCGATTGCCAGAGCTGTTCCAAAAGGCGCAGAAATCGTTGCATTTCCATGCTGCTCGCAAAGAAGATTACCAAATCATCGACACACTCTAAAGGCGCCTCCTGACACGAGAACTCCAATATGCACCACCAAGTCTCGCTATGCGAGGGGATTTTAATGCCAGTCATCGCCTTTATATCCGCACAAGTAAGAATTTCCAGGCCAGAGTTTTTTCCATAAACGCTACTCATATTATTTGTGGACACAGCTTTGGATTGTGGCACACCGGGCTTTATGTTTTCGGTCGAGGTGCGTGATATTTGTGATGTTTTAGTGGGCGTGGAGTTCAACGAAGAGCAGGAGCGTTGGGTTCCCCGTGTAGGTGTACTCATAGTGGAGCTCAGCTGAAAAATTTAAGATAATTAGAACCAGAAATATTGAATAGAAAATATATTTTAAAAATGTATGCGATGATTATTCTATGTAAATTTAAACTAGATTTTAAGCTAAGGATTATGTAGCAAAGGAATGTATAATTGTTCTGGAATTTTGTAAATCATATTCCTCTTCCACATACGAGTTCATATTTCCACTGAATGTTTTCCAAAATTTCTAAACTTTAATTAGGTTTTAAACTAATGATGTTAAAGTGTTTTTAAAATTCAAATCAAATACTTAATAGACAAAAAATTTTATACTGAGCAAAAATAAAAATGTATTTTATTTATATTGTATATGCTATTTATTTATATTTGAATATATACTATACTATTAAACTCTATATAGCTTAATACATTTTGGGTACATTTTAATATAATTGACTTACCAGGCTGGCCGTTTCAAAGACTGAAAGCATATCCTCATCGCGCAACAAAGGCTTGGACAGTTCCACTGTTGGAGCAGTGGACGGGGAAGCCACATGTTTATTGAGCTGACGCAATGGCGCAGCGAAGTCCTCGCGTAGTGTGATTAAATGGTTTTGTGTCACTATCAAAGTACAGCCTAGAGTTTTGTGCTTCTCTTGCAATTCAAAGAGCTGCGCATATGAGAACAATTAATTACAACAAAGGATTAGAGAATTCATTCAACAACTTACACCGCTGGCCGATTGCAGCAAGGCTTGTAGCCATTCCGATGCCACATACTCATCTGGTGCGGCCATTTGTAGAAATTCGCCCTTCAGCATTATTTCAAAACAATGCGGACGCGCCGACTTCACAGCACGCCTTGCACCCTGACATTCCGCCAAAGCCATGGCCCAGCTAGGCAGCTTTTGAGTGGAGTCGTTGAACATATATAGCACGCCAGCTCTAGAAATAATAGCAGCAATAGAGTGAATAAAGTTGGAATACAAACTACAACTATTTTAACTAACTTTAACAAAAAGTAGCCCGGCTGCCACTGCAATTTTCCGATAGCGGCAGCTGAGGCCGTCTCCTTGATACGTCGGTGCATGAGAAAGCCTTTGACGTGCGGACCGAGCGGCTCCTGTTCCCCAGCCAGTCCCATGCCCAAGGCACCACCAGCGGGCATATTAACCACGGCATAGAACATCCAGCGTTCGTCCTTACCCACACAGCTGTTGGCCCGCACGAATGCTTGCAATGGACTCAGATGCTCCAATGTGAGTTGCCCCACCGCGGGCAAGGTCGAGCCGCTGCGTCGCGCACACAACTCCAGGTTGGCTACCAAAGCGTCGGCAGGATACGGTCCACCGGCCAATAGCACTTGCTGCATATCCCGCATGCTGTTGCTCAACAAAACCGTATTGCCAAACGGACCCATCTGCAAAAAAAAAAGAAGAGGAAACGTAGTAAACAAAAAAGTCATATATAGTTTGTGATAAACTAGTTTTGGATCGTACAATTCTCTAGTTTGAAGTTCAAAACCTTTTCATATAACAAGACAGAAAGGTGAAATAACAAGAGATCTGCAACGTTTTCTTCTAGCTGTTAGATGCATTTCGCGTATAACCCTTTCAGCCTACGTGAACAGGCTATATAAATTTAAAAAATCTTACCAAAATGACATCCAAATCCTTGTAGGCTAGCACAAATTTGGCACACAAGCAATTGCGCACCAAATCCGCCACATAGAGCGTCTTATCGGTTAAAAGCACCAGCACCGGCGTCATGAAACCCTCACAGCTATACCCAGTGTACAATTTGAAGACCTGCCAAGCAGAGAGGAAATTAATGTTAACGGGAATGCATTTTAGATGCAACACCGACTCACCTTCAGCAGATGCTCGTTGGGTTCACGTAAAATTGGCAAACTTTTGCCATTAAATATATCAATTGAGATCTCACCGATGCCCAGTTCAAAGCGGGATATATCGCCGGGTAGGTCTGTGTCCATGCCAACAGCTAACTCACGACGCGGCGAATTAGCGCCTGACATTTCAATTTCCATTGCAATTTCCGCATTCAAATCGTCAATCAGTTCATAGTTCTTGGGTCGCGCACCGCGCACATAGAGATGCGAAGCCAACAATTTCTGTTCGCTGCGCAATTTATCCGCGAAGAAATTATTTTTACGTATTGAAGACTCGAGTATTTTCTTCTGTGTGACATTCCGCAGAAAGCGATTTATGAGCGAGGTTTTGGCTGCGGGCGCAGCTGGCGGTTTCAGCAATTGAGCATAGTCCAGCGACTGGCGCGAGTCACACATATCCGGATAGTCTAGAATGACCAAATCACTGCCATCTGTTGTGTTTATTGTCTGCTTATCTATGCCCGTATCTGTGGTGGTAGTTATAGTTAAGATATCATCGAATTCTTCGCTTAATATAGTGCTCTTAGAGTCCCGTCCGCTGCCCTCTCGTGCGCCTAAATAACCGACAGAACCGTGAAACAAATCGGGACTATGCAGACTGCGACTATGTTGCTGTTCGCTGTTGTTGTGACTGCCACCACTATTGTGGGCCAAACCATAGCGCTGGGGCTGTTGAACATTGCCAACGCTACCGCGTTTCTTCAACGGTGATGGCAAATGTCGCGATTGCCGCTCCACATTCCCCAAGGCCAGGCCATTAACGTTAATTTGTGGCTTGGGCAAGGAGCAAGAATTGGAATTTGTGTTCGTATTGCTGATGGAGCTTAGCTCTGATATGGTTGATGAGGAGTGGGTCGTGGGCAGCTTACAATGAGGCGTGACTGTGGGCTGTGGCTGATCCGGTGTGCCAGCTGCTGGCTTCGACATTTTTAGCGCTGTGAAGCAAAGAGAGAGCATTTAGTATCGGTGTTGAAAACCAGTGGATAGCCTGAAATGTTCCATAGCGATAGCGCTTTATTAGTTTCTACACGTATAAGAAATAATTATACGTTTCTAAGCGAACCATTATTTATACAAATTTTATATATTTCTTATTTAATTAATCCGTAAGTTTTCCCAACATACGCCTTAAAATGTTGGATCTGGTGTAACAGTTTTTATTTTTATTTATTAATATTTTTTTATGAATATTTGATTATTTATTTATTACCATTATTTCGTGTTATTTTTCGTTTTTTTATATTTAAATGAATTATCCTGGTTATAAAACTAAACAAAACAGTTTAAGCACCGTAAGTTTTCGAAAATGTTTGGTTATTAGTTATAACTCACCGAAATAGCTTTCAGTGGCTTCCTTTTGGTGTTGTTTTTGTTGCTGCTGCTGCTCCTTTTCCAAGGCTTTGCGTTCCGCTGCTGCTGGCGAGTTGGCGTTCTCCGTGAGACTGCGAAAGAAGTTGCTAAAGGTCTTGGCGATAGGCGCTCCAATGAAGGTGCTACGCAACTGACTGGCTGCCGGCTGTGCGACAGGCGTGTCGCGTTCCAAAAGACTCGCAACGCTGGAGTGCTGAGCCGCGGGCGATGTGGCTACCGGCTCGCTGGTCTCGTAGGAGACGCCTGTGTGCTCGAATACTGTGCTCTCGCAGTTGATAATGAATTTGCTACGAAATTCGGGTTGTGTGCTGTTTAGAGTCTGCGACGGGATGGCTGGCATTGCTGTTTCTTTATCGAACTCATCTTGACGTCGAAGCATACTGGGTTGTTTTGGTTCCATGGGTGAGTTTGGGGTGTTGCTTGTGCTTGACTCATCGTTTTTGCGTCGCAATTGCTCGTCAACATTGTGCACAAACTTTTTGACGCCCTGCGCCTGCTTATTGCCATCCAGACTTTTGCTGAGAAATGGTTTTGCTTTGAGCGGAGGCGACTCTGACGTACATTCTGGTAGCGCTTTGTTTGGTTTGTGCTCTGGCGTTTGTTCCAATTCCGGCACGCACTCCACTACCGCTTGGAGATCTTCTGAGCCCTCGGGTACGCCACGTTCCGGCAGCGGCATGGTAAAAATGCTCTTTAAGGAGCCGAAGATCATTTTGCTGCTGTTGTCCAGCAATTGATGTTTAATGTCATGTACATTGAACTTCTTAACGCGACCATTGAGATCCTGCTCGTGTATGATGTTTGTCTGGCGTTTGGTTTTCTTTAAGCAGCTGGATTTTGGTTTCTTCTCTTTGTTCCAAACGGACTTTTGCTTGGGACTGCCTGCATTGCCAATATTGGGTTCCGAGTAATAGCAATTTTCGCCTGACAATAATATAGATTATTTCGATTATTTCATGTACAAAAGATTCTTTTGATGACACTTACCAATCAGATTATTGTTGGCATTGCTCATGCCTATGCAGTCGCAGGAGCTGCTTTTAGCCTGCTCGTACTGTTTGCGATTTGAGTTCTTGTCCTGCTGCTCATCGGAATCTAGACTAGAATTGGAGCTCGAGCAGGCGCAGCGATAGAGCAGCTGCTCATCCGACTGTTTATTGCCAGCCGGTCCGTATTCGAAAACACCTGAATTATCGTATTGCAGGCCATTGGGCTCATTGGTGTCATAGATATCTGCATTGCCATAGTCGAGCACATCCGAGCAGGCATTCCGATAGACCAAGCGTCGATTTCGGCCCAGAGCACCGCCTGCTGCGTCCTCGCCATCGTCGTCATCGTCCTTACCTGCAGCGCTTAGCTCTGTGGGTCCCGAAACACGCTCGCGCTCTGCACACCACGAATATCGACCGGCAGCGCCTGCGACTCCTGCCGAGTTCCCCACTTGCTGCGCCAATTTGCGTCCATTTTTATATGTTACAAAGCCATGCTCTATGTGTATGTTGTCTGTACGTGTATTTTTTAGTATATCCTCGTGGAAGGAGACACGTTTCTTAGGCGCTTTCGGTGTGGAGGATGCCTTACGAGCTTTGCGTCTGTAAACAATGTTCTCGGTTGTGTCGAATGTCGAACAGGCGCTTGTCGTCATTGTCTCCTCTGGCGCCACATTCGAATTGGGATCCATGGGTAGTTGAGCTGGAATGCCTGCTGCCGGCTTCAAAAGTTCCTCGTATTCCAGTCCCACCTGTGAGGTGATCGATTCAATCATCACATCGCTGTTCTCTGAGTCCAACAATTGGACTCCAGAATCGCTGGGCGTTGTATCCTCCAGCGTGCTGTTAATGCTGGAACTCATCTTGTCCGACCCTGGCGATACTTTACTATTCAAATTGTTGTTGGACTTGGCTTGCAAAACCGGTTCCATTACGCCATCGTATGCATAACTTGCTTGACGTTCCAACACCAAGATTTCTATTTCGGTAAAATGTTAACGCTTAGTAATTTAACTTAAGCAGATGATAGATTGGGTCTAGCTCGTTTATTTTTGAAAGGTACGTGAACTTTGTGCCAATTGGAGTAGTTCTGCTTTGAAAGTAAAAGAACAATTTTATAAGGTCAGTGGGTGTGCATTTTCCGCCGTGTTTGTGTATCTTCTTTTTCTTGCAATAAATCAATATCAATACCGTTGCATGCTGCGCCGCATCACGTCACTGCGTAGGGGGGCGGTCGCTCGCTACACAAACACAACAAAGGAGTACCGCAAGGCCCACGACCCTTCCAACTTCCACCCCAATCTCAACTATCTACCACACAAGTGCAAAAACGCAAATAAAAAGCTTGCACTTTTTACAGCAATTTTCACCCACATACCTTCGATTTGTTGAGGAAATTCCATGACGTTTGTGAGCTGCGTACTTTAAATTATCGTCGTTAGCTAATTAGTTACCTTTCGTATATATTTTTCTACGCTATTTTACATTTTCAAATTATTTCACATTCGTACCGTACCGTACCACAACAACAACGAGCAGCAATCAATATTACTGGCCTAGAGATGGGCATTGTGGTGGTTGCATTCATAGCCACAGCAATAGGTGTTTCAAATAATAAGTTGGCATGACCACAGCTCAGCTGTTTGACTGTGGGTGATGTGGCAGCATTGGACATTCAAATTCATGCAATGCACAGGACAATTTTTGAGTCTGTGCAGGGCCACAAACTTGGGCGCTCACTTTCAACAGGCTATTACAGCTAAAATAGAAAAATAAAATCATTTATAAAATATAATTTATAACACAAAACTGAATGAAGTATTCTTTATTTTTTTTTAAAAAGATAGGCTTTTGCAATAAATTGAACTGAGGGGAAATTTAGGATCCACTGCACAGGATAATTTTTTAATTGAAGATGGGTGGCAGCGCCAAACATTGCTTCTGTTGGTTTGGCGGGCAAATTCAAAGCAATATTGCAGTCTGATATGAAAAATTGCATAAAAATTTGTAATCCTAAGAATAAAACGGCACCAAATTTTTCTTATATATTTCTATTAGAAATAATTGGATGTAGATATATGTTTAGATACATTCGGACAATCCACGTCATCTACACATTCCGCATACCATCGAGACTTGTCAATTTGAAAAGTACAATAGGAAAGGGCAGAAAAAGAAACGAATGCCAATGAAAACGAATGAAACCATAAAAGTTAATTTATCACACCTTGAACAGCGCACAGCAATCAGACGATATAACTCTTTTATTTTTGGTTTTGTTCGCATAAATGTGAAAAGAGGAAAATTGTTCTGCATTTATTAAATAATCCAATCAAAATCAAAAATGATGGAAGTGAATGTGTTGCGTCGCGCATTTGAAAAATGTTAGTCACTGCAGAACAATGTGCCGTAAAACTATGAAATTGAAATACAAACGTAAAAAAAAACCATGATAAACGCGCAAAATTATTCAAAATTTACAACAAATAGTGAATGTAGTAAATAGTTAACGTTACTAAAAAGTTATTCAAAACTACGAAAACGCAACGGCGTGTGTTCAAAATGCAAATGCAAATGAGAATTATATTCAATCAGTTGAAACAGCATAGATTTCTCGTCACAATTGCAATACATTTGTGTTTACTAGAAAAATCGATTTTGCAATGTAATTGTGTTCACGGTTTCAGGTAAAAATAATGCAATTACACCAAGAATACCAAAAATCAAATGACTATGGTTTTATTAATGTTTATTGTAAGCCTTTCTGGCAAACGCATTGCATCAGACAAAGTTTTCTAGCGAAACCCCTAACCTCAATTTTTTCCTCATATGCCAGAAACAATACGGAAAGCGCTGAGCTGGTTTCCCACTATGAATCGAGTCTCTCGCTGCCTGACATATTGCCAATACCATCGAAAACCTATGACAAAAATCGAGCACCTAAGCTGCTTGGCCAACCCACAGTCGTTTATTTTCATGTCACAGTGCTATCACTCGATTCCATCAATGAAGAGTCTATGGTAAGATGAAAACCACTTCTTCGTATTACTTGTTTGAGACTGTGGAAAACCCTCTTCGCAGACCTATGTGACGGACATATTTCTAGCACAAAGTTGGCGCGATCCGCGCCTTCGCCTGCCCGAGAACATGAGCGAACAATATCGCATCCTGGATGTGGATTGGCTGCACAGTATTTGGCGACCGGATTGCTTCTTCAAGAATGCCAAGAAGGTCACCTTCCACGAAATGAGCATACCCAACCACTATCTATGGCTCTACCATGACAAAACTCTACTCTACATGTCCAAACTGACTTTGGTACTGTCATGTGCCATGAAATTTGAGTCCTATCCGCACGACACACAAATCTGTTCCATGATGATCGAAAGCTGTAAGTGGCCACTAATGTTAAATGCAATCTATTTGTAATCGAGTTTATATTTCCAGTGTCCCACACGGTGGAAGATTTGGTTTTCATTTGGAATATGACGGATCCACTAGTGGTTAATGCTGAAATTGAATTGCCACAACTGGACATATCAAATAATTATACCACAGACTGTACCATAGAGTATTCGACAGGTAGGCGCTATAATTTATGCTATTTATTAATTTTTGGAAAAAATCTGAGGTCGGAATTAAATACAAAAAAATTCTCTGGCATTGCACTTTCGATTCCGAAAGGTATTTTTAATCGACGTACCATGTTTTTATACCCTGTACCCAAAGGGTATATCCGGGTATATTTGGCCTTTCAGATGTGCGACCAATTCATTCTCTTTTGGAATTTGTTACGCATATATTAAAAAGTAAATAGAAGTTACAAAAAATCTCTTGTTCTGCATTTTCTGCGTTCTTATATAACCGGAACACAATCATTAACTTTTTGGGAGCCTAATAGAAAACAATTTGTTCCGTTATTAAGTTTATTCCGTGTTCTCCACAGCAATTAATTTGTATAATAGCATCTATATACTATAAGATTTCTAACAATTAAGCTTCAACTAATAGTGGCCCTTCTGGGTCTAAGCTGCGTTTCAGCTGAACTCCCATATGGATAATTTAATTCATTTTTAAAAATATGGAATAAATATATCAACAGCTGGAATCAATTCCAATTCAATTTCAATTCGAGTTGAAACGACAAATGGTATAATGATTAACTCTCAAACCTGGATGAACTTTATTCCCCACATGTTTTATTTCTTTTCGTTTCAATTTAATATTTAATAATGACATCATAGATCTGTCGAAGCTTTGCAGTATCAGTGTTCGATTTTTTAATTTTTTTTTGGAAATGGAAGCACTTTTTGGCATAACGATGCAGAAGTAGCGTGTAATTTTTTATATGCGGAATTTTACATAGCTAGGAAAATAATAGATTTACTATATATAAGGTATATATATTTCTCAGGGGAAATTCGTCTGAAAGTATTGCAGTTGTTCTGTGAGCCGCAAAGTTTAGTGCCCTAATTAAAGGATTTTCGTCTTAGTACTGAAATAGGAGAATCCATTTAAAACACTCTAACACTAACTCTCTGGTGTCTAAGTCCATTTGCACTGAAATTCTAGACTAGACTAGACTCTAGCGGGAAAATAAATGCTCTAGCGCTGTGACATTTACTTTCACAGCTTTAATTTAAAAGTAATTATGAAATGCACCCATGTTGGTAAAATTGGGAAACAATTCCTAGAGGCTTTCTTAAATGTTTGCTTTAATTTATATGTTTTTTGCGTCATTAACAATTTATATATTTGTATACTCTGTACCCGTAGGGTAAAAAGGGCATATTAGGTTTGTGCAAAGGCAGAAGGAAGTATCTCCGACCCCATTAAGTATAAATATTCTTGATCAGCATAAGCTGCCCGTCCGTCTGTCTGTATGGATGAACGTATGGATCTTAAAAATTATAAAAGCTGGAATAACCAAAGTTGGTATCCAGATTCGCCTAAGTCCGAGAAAGGACGAGTTATTAAAAAAAATGTTTTTGATCAATTTTTTGCCCAATGATATATAGACAGAGAAATACTTGTAAATCTATAAATATCTTCGTTTCAGTGTTTCGTATTTATATAAATAAATTGATTTAATTAATTTAAGAGAAGCGCGTAGGAGGGCTGAATTTTTCATTCAATTGTAAAATGTTATTCTAATAATTACGTAAATCTGTTTCTTGTGCTTTAAATATAAAACATAAATAACAAACTGTATAATTATTTAAAAATATATAATTTGCTCCGGGTAAAATAAAAAAAAAAAACAAATTTTGTCATGATATAGTAATTATTGGAACAACTTTTCTACAAAGAACATTTGGTTCATTGATTCAACAGCCGAGTGATGAGCCAATAAAGACCGACTTCTTTATGTTACTATTCATATTTGATCGGACAGTACAAATTAATCTCTGAATATTTTCGCTATTAATGAAGGGATTTCGACTATTCCAAAATTGGTTACTTTGTGTGAGAAGCACGAAGGCAGCCTGTATGTTAAATGAAAGATATATTTGGTTTATAAATTAAAATTTTTTTTATTAGTATAGTTGCGTGAGAAATGCATTCTGGGATTCTGCTCCTGTTTTTGTGGTCCCTAAATATCTGTAACTTGCGCTTCAAACAGAAGATTTTATTTATTTATTACACTATTGTAAGCAGTTTTTAAACATTTATATTTACAGGTAACTTTACCTGCCTGGCCATTGTGTTTAACTTGCGTCGCCGCCTGGGGTATCATTTGTTCCACACCTACATACCGTCGGCCCTTATTGTGGTAATGTCTTGGATCTCGTTTTGGATTAAGCCCGAGGCTATACCCGCCCGCGTTACTCTGGGAGTCACCTCCCTGCTGACCTTAGCCACGCAGAATACACAATCTCAACAATCGCTGCCACCGGTCTCGTATGTGAAGGCCATCGATGTCTGGATGTCGTCCTGTTCGGTGTTTGTATTTCTGTCCTTAATGGAGTTCGCGGTAGTCAACAATTATATGGGACCGGTAGCCACAAAGGCAATGAAGGGCTACTCGGATGAGAATATTCACGATATGGATGGCTTGAAGGTAATTCTTAGCAGCCGACGAGGTTTACGAAATTGAATGACTTGTTATTTGATATTCCAGCACCATCGCGAGTCCATAATAGAGCCACAGTACGATACTTTCTGCCATGGCCATGCCACCGCCATCTATATAGATAAGTTCTCGCGCTTCTTTTTCCCATTTTCGTTTTTCATACTTAACATTGTCTATTGGACGACGTTTCTATGATGGCATGCCCCGTGGAGACATCACTATTTAAGGTTACAATCAATTCAATCAAAATAAAGCGCATTTGTTTAAAAATGTATATAGTTTTTAAGCCACAAATAATTATAATTGTAGTAAATCATTGTATAAAAATGTTGCTTGGTAATTAATTAAATTTTAAATTCAAAGGAAGAAATCAAGAAATGCATTTCAGTTACGCAACAAAGGTGGAATTATCTTTGGTATTTTTCTTTTTTGTTTACTATATATGTACGTATGTACCTATGTATGTATATGTTATAAAATGTATATAAAAACGTTTACTGTTAATGCTTGTTATTCATCATCATAATCATATATCATATACACTTGTATGTAGTCAGCAATATTGTTATATAATCACATAATATCATATCGAGTTAAGAGTGCTATTTCATGGTTTCCATTTCATTCCTTTACTAATTTCTTAGCAGTGTTTTGCGTTAATTGTTGCTAATATTCATATTTATATATATATATATATTTATAAGTATACATCTAGTATATGAGTGTGTTCATAAACAACTTTTCCACTAAACTATTCAATTAAATAATACACAAAGGCAACTAATACACGTTCCAAAATAAATATACATATGTAAATTGTTACATAGACACTATCCTACTGAGGAAACAGAAAATAATCCAACAAAAAAATACACAACACAGCGCCTAAGGAAGGAGCGTAGTTCCAGATCAGGACCTAAGGTCATCGTGTCAACCATTCATGTATGCTTGTGGGTGTGGTTGTTCAATTTGTTTTGTTTATTGCAAACACGCCTGCAGTTTCTCGATCCATTCCTGTGCCAGATTCGCATTTACCGCATAGAAGTTGTAGGTGCGCTTTGAGGTCTTCAACTGCAAGAAACGATATACTTGGATATTACTTCACGAATTTATATATACAATTTCAAATCTCAATTTCATGAAACTCAGATCGGACTTCTAGTGACGCTGACTACGGTTTTCTTTTTTTAGATTAACTTACATCAAAGAATCCCTTTTCATCAACGCGTTTCGTTCCAATTTGTGTTGGTTGCGCAGCGGTTACGGATTGTACCTCGGCTAGTTCTGTAAATCAAAAAGATTATGAGCTTATTTGTTTATTTAAAATGTATTCACTATTCTCGTATATTACCTATAAAACCTTTGGGCGTTGTATCGTCGGATGTATCGTAGTAACGCAGCTGATGTTTAATGGAGTCCAGAACAAACCAACGTTGTTTCCAGCCCTTGAGCAGTGCGCCACGTTTATAGAGATGTCTGTTAAGAATTAAAGATAAGTAGAAATAGTTGTAAAAAGCTATTCTCAAGCTTAGTTTTGCTTAGTTACTCACCCCTCGTGCGTGCGATTCTCGGCCACATTGCTGCTGAATTGGTTGTAGAAATGATGGCTAGAGGTGCGAGCAGTGGTGGCCGCACTGGAGGCAATGCTTGCCGTATCCCCCTGGGAAATATTCACATTTGGCGGTCCCACAGAACCATCAATGGCCTTGTACTTGGTGCAGTTCTTCATGGATAGTTCGGTGCACTTCTCGTGATATGAATTGCCACAATCCATGCAGCGATAGCCCACTGGTCCCCAAAGGAGTTTTGTGCAATGATTACAATTCGTGGGCGTCGTATAAGGATGTTTTTCGAAGCGATGCGGATGAAAGAACTTATCTTGGTAGCCAGCCAGTCGCCCCTTCATAATGAATTCGAGTGTGGATCGTTTGTGCTGGAGTTTGCTTTGTGTCTGGACTAGCATGCTGCTGAGTGATGTTTTGCGCGACATGAGCTCGAGTTTGGGAACCTCAAGGTTCTTCCAAACTTGCTGCCACTTTTGTGGCAAATGGCCGCGTTCCGTCTCTGCCTGCTTAACTTCGCTAAGCAGACAGACATAGGCATTGGGATTGCATTTCTCAATGTTGTCATAGCCAGCACTGATGACCATGCGTTTGCCCTTTACTTCGGACAAGTCGATTTCGTCGTCCACATTCGTGACCTCCAAGTCGTAAGGTGGTCCTTGAGCGAGCTCCTCATTGGTGTAGTAACTCCATAGATCTAACGCAGCTATACTGTACTGCGGACGTAGCACTTCGTCTTTGTCGCCGGAGTAGAGAAAGTTATAAAACAGTGGCGTCTTGCTGTGCTGTCGCTCTATATAATCGAAAATCGAGTGTCCAATGCGATTCAGTTGCGTGGGCGTGCGAGGACTGCGCATATCCATCGGATAAACATTGCACTCATCATCCGAACCATTGGCTGCGCTGCCACCACCAAACATATGCTTGGCTGACAGCGAACCGCGTTTATCCTCCACAGCTGCTATGCCCGAATCATAGCGCTCCAATTCGCAGTCAAAGACAAAGGTGCGGAAACGACACGAAACGACATGATAGGCGAGAAAGCGCAGATAGAAATCATTGAACTCGAAGGCAATGGGGAATTGTCGCTGCAGTTGATGCACGACATCGAGGAATTGCAGAAATGTGGGTGCGAATGCAATGTTGGTGCTGGCATGCGAGGGCTTCAGATTGCTGCGATGCGCAAAGCGATGTCCAAACGCCAACCACTCCTTCTCGATGAGCACACGAAAGCCTTCCAGGCTGCGATAATACGGATCTAAACACAATTGAGCAATCGATGAGAGCTGAGCGGTCACATCGTAGCCATCCTCCAACGACAACATAACACTCGACTCTTGCAAATCAATTAAATCGACAACGGCGCCGGATAGTTGTAGCAGCGATGAGATTTGCTGCAACCATTCGGATTGTTCGACCATTTTCGCAAAACTCTGACCATCCGCATCGTTCGTATTGTGCGACGGCATGCAGGCGCGTATGAGTTTCTTGAAAGCCGAACGCGATTGTCGTATATCCGGATAATCAACGGGTATGAAGTCTGCACAGCAATCGGCACTCAAATTTGACTTGGCCTGCGATTTCTCGCTGAGCGCATAGAGACGCATTTTGCGAAAAGCGTGGGCCGCTTGGCTGTTGCTATTCCCGCTGCTCTTCATGGTGCTACTCTTGTTGTTGGCCGCTCCACCGCTGCATTTGTTGTCGTTAACATTTAAGTTGGTTTTGTGTTTGCGCGTCAGCTCCGGCGTTAATGGCTGATGCTCGTCCACTGCTGCACCTCCACTGCTTCCCAACAGCAACGAACTCATCGACAGATTCATGCCCGAGTACTGGGTTAAGGTTAGCTTCGGCATTGTGTTGATCAGCGCCATGAAATACTTATCCTGCTCATGATAATGCGTCACATCGTGGGGCATTGTGTTGCCCGTTGTGTTCTTCAGCATGCCAATTACAGATTTGCTATTTGGCTGCGCGCCACGGATGAGCAAAGCGCCATTCGAATGCCGCCACGTGGGCAGCGGTATGCGTTGACTTTTGAAGCAGCGGCCCAAATGTGTCATTGCAGGATCGCTAAATTGTACGGGCGCTACCACAATGGCCGGATAGGTACGACACATCGCATAATTGGCATTCGCATTGCTGATGCGGAAGCCATGCTGTGACTCCGCATCGAAGCCCAAACGCTTCCAATCCTTAACATAACTGCGTTCTCGCATGCGCTCAATATCCTTTGTGGTCAGCAGACGCGGCAATGTTTCGTTCTGCAACTCAAACTCATCGCCATCCTCGAGCTCATCGTCTATGGAACGAGTTTCCAAAGCATCCACACTGCCACCTCCGCCCCCACTCGATGCGGTCAAATCATAGTCGGTAATGAGCTTACGCTTCGTTGGAACCTTCTGCTTGAAGCCCGCCTTTTTGGCTGTGCGCAGCAGCGTCTTCTTGGCAAAGCCCTTCAGCGTGGAGTACTTCTCTTTGGTCTTCAACGGTGCCACGCCCTGCAGCATAGTGCCGTACGATTGAAACGCAAAATATTCGAACTCGTCGAAGGGATGACGCGCCTTCGCCAACAGCTTCCGAAACGTTTCGATGTGTTCCGGCGTCACCTCTGTATCGAAAGCAACTTTGAGCAGTTGAAAGCTACTTGAACGCAGCTGCAAACCCTCCGGCAGCGTCTGATCGAGGTGGGCCAAGTAGAGTACCGAGATTTTCTTCTCCTTCAGCAATGAGGCAATTGGAAAGGCGCGTACGATCGTCTGCTCGCAGAAGAGTGGATCACAGGGCGAGCCCTTGAAGACAATGCGGTAGTTGGTGAGAAAGAGTGCACCCTCGGCTGGTATCAGACATTGGGTGTCATCCTCCCGCCCATCTGGCATCAGAAAGCATCGCAAATGCTCCGTCGCTAGCTCCTCGCCCGGCAGCAGGCAGGGCGTTTGAATTTTCGGCTTCTGCACATGTGGATGCCGTTTCGCCTCCAAATATACCGGCTCCAGAGATTCAATATGCATATGCACCACACCCGGCACCATATCGTGCAGATTCCGAATATGCTCCGAGGTGACGCCTCCCTCCGTACAAACGCAATCGATAAAACGTGATATGGTCTTGCCGACATTAACGCCAATCTCTAGAGCATCATTCTCCTCGAAACCCTCATCGGAATGTTCGCTCAGACTGTGCGAGTCCATAATACTGCAATTAATCATTTTATAAGTTAATGGTAATGAAGAGAAAAAGGCAAACAACTCACCTATTCGATACGCTTTGATTCTCCTCCATGCGAAACGCTGGCTTTGGTTTGCGTGCCGCATCCACATTGACATCTAGTGGGATTAGCAACGAGACCATGCGATTGGCAAAGTGTATGGCCTGGCTGTATAAAGTGGACTCCTCTGATTTGGCCAGCTCGGCCTTGCGTTCCTCTTCAATGGTGGGACTCTTGCGCAATTGCTCGGCAGTTATTTCCAGAGCAGATGGTTCCTCCAGCGGCACCTCATCCAATATACTATTGGCCTCTTTATTATACTCATTTTGTCGTCTATGGAGGATGTACAGTGCCTTGATTTGTGCCTGCACATCCTGATAGAATGTCGATTCCCAGAATTGTAAATTTCGCCAGATTAAATGATCCTGTATCTCCGTGTAGGCAAACTGTACGACTCCAGTTGACAACTTGCGACAAAATATGGTGGACATGGGCAGCAAAGCCGCTGCCACTGTGTATTTATCCACACCAGAAGAATTCTGCAACGCCTTGTTCATAAATCGTATGACCAGATCGAATTGTTGATGGTCCAGCACCGCCTTATTGCCGTGCACATAGCCGAAAAGCTCGCGGCAAAGCAGAATACGGGCATCTCGATGCTTCAGGGTCCTCATAACTGCCGGCAGAAGCTTTCTGGCATCCGCAATTCGATTCTCGAATATGTATGCAATGCAAGTGCGTAGCACCTCCAAGCGGCGCGCCGAATTATGCACACTGGGCCCCACATCTAGGACCTCAGGCAAACGCGGGCCCATGGGTATGATACGATTTTGATTGCGTGTGACATGGAATCGCTGCGAGAGGCCGTTCTTGCGCAGACCATCGTTGATAATGAGCTCCACTTTGTCGGAATTGATGCGTGGAAAGGCGGGCTGATGAATGCGATGAAAGGCGCCCTCAGGCGGGCGAAGAACCTTTTGGGCATAGGCTGTGGGTGCATTGGAGGACTCATTCTCGTACAGCGTGCGTCCCAGCTCTTGGATATGTGTTAAAATCTAACAAGATGCAGACCAATTAGATGCAGGTATAGGCAAGAGGTGAAGGGAGTTACTTACGAGATTGCGATTATTGGCCTCTGACTTGACCAGTTCGTTCATAGAGCTGTAAAGGTCATCCCAGGCATCCGAGGAACGCCAGGGTGGCCCACGCTCATTGACAAATGTGGTGAAGAACATGCTGTCGAGCACGCGAAACAGAAAGTCACTCTCGATGAGATCCCGGGCGCCCACAAAGCCCGCCTTGTGAAACGTTATGACTGGCTTGGGATGAATGCGTATGATGGTCAGACAGGAGCGATAGCCTTGCAGTAGTTGTGCGAAGAGGCGCATAAATATTGCACGCAACTCCTTGTCAATTTGTGCTTCTGTCTTGGCCAACGGCGCTGGACGTTCTAGCGTGGGAAATGCCAAGTCCGCTTGCGCCAGATTTGGAAAAAGTATCATGCTGAGCAAATCCTGAGTTTGTTCCCACAACGGTGTCGGCAAAATGGGCACTGGCGGCGACAGAGACTCAGGTATGGTGACCAAACCGCCATCCAAATCCACAACAATCACATCCAGCAGATCCGAAATCTCTGTCTGCAACGAACTATGTATGCCCATGATGAAGGGTGTGGGTGTGGATAACACCTCAGTCAACGGTGCTGGCAATATAGGTATGTAGACGTGAGTGTAGCGAAAGGGATACATGAGCGCGACCAGCGCACGGCAGCTGTCCGTCAAATGCCAATAGCACTTGGAGTGGAAGAGTATTTTATTTTCGGTCATCACTGCACACAGCAATATGAGCACGTTCTTGATGCCCAGCTGTTTGAAGAGGAAATGCACACCGCTGCCAGTCATGGGCAGCGACGAACTCTGCGGTGGCTGCAACGATTGCTTATCTCCGGCTCCAATGGAGAAACGCACCTGCGGCCCGCCCGCTGGTGGCACCTGTATGCATCCCAATATATTGCCGATCAGATTCTCCATGGCGTATGGCAAGTTTTCAATGTACACTGTATAAATTGTGCCCAGGCAGTTCTGCAATGCCAAAGAAAAATATTACAAAACAGTTGGCACAGCTGCGGATGGCAACCTTCCAATTAGCTACTAACCTTAAACGTCTCGGCACAGTCCAGACGCGATATGAGCACCAAACACTTCGGCGCATACATAACGCTGTGATGAGTAATGGGCGCAGTTGTGGCCACTGTGGACGTGCCAGGCACAGCAACCACATCGACGGCACCGGCCGCGCCCACCACATGTTGCTGATGCTGATATTTGGTGTTGGTTGGACAGATAGTCTCGTCCTCATCGTCCACACTAGTCCTCGTCTGCGTTATGGCCAGCGTCTCGTGGAAGCTCAGGCAGGCACAATAATGCTTGTTTGCATCGATGTCGGTTAGCACGGAGACAAAAAATTTCGGCTCTTGTTTCTCGCACGATAAATTCCAGCCCAGTGGTTGGCAGAACTGCGTAGATAAGAGATTAAAACCATGTACATATATGTATGTTGCAATTAAGTTGGTGCGTACCCATTCGATACCCTCGATAAAGGGTGTGTCTGGCCAATCTTTCTCGGGAAAACGCTGCACAATTTTTCCACATATTGGCTGGCCGTTGACATTGCCTGCAGTTTCTGAATAATGAAAAGAACCGGCAATCACATACATATGTATTTATTTATGTATTAAAGATTGGCGCCTATGAGTTGATAGGCTTGTTTGTATCAGCATCCACACTCACTTTCTTTGTCGTTATCGTAGCCAACAATAACAAAGTAATCAGCGAGCCGGGACATTATTATTTGTACGGCTGCCCTGCATTTCCATTCGCTTTAAAGTGGAACTTCTGCCTCTCCTACTGGCCTCGGAATATCTGTCAACACGTCGTCGTTGCGAAGTCTCTGTTGCCTCTCATTTGCCAAATCTACGAATTAAAGCACAAAACGCAAGCCAAATGAAACGACAAATTTTTTATACACATATGTATGTATGTATGTATGTATCATGTACACACAGCCGTTTTGGTCACAGCCACAGCCACAACCACAACGGACGACGCAAGCAGTGGCGGCGTCATCTCTCATTTGCATACAAATTCCGACTTCAATTAATATAGGGCACGAATTTGTAATTGGCATTAAATATATATAAATTCAATTCCAAATATTATCTGTAACACAATCACTTTCTGTTTTTTTTTAATCCAAATAAATTTTCTGCCTCTTTAACATCATTTTGGAACCATTTAACCACACCCCTCAAGAGTCTTCATCTTTTCAGCCAATAGTGGTTAGAAGATTCAATTTTGAAACAAGTTTATATATCGTACCGCTGTAAGTAATTTCAAGTTTACTGGTGTCGGTAAATGTAATAAACAAATTGCTACAATTTGTATATTTTCTTGTTGCTTTCGCTCTGCTTACAACTATGATTTAGAGATGGTTATTGGATGTGGCTGAGAGCGAAAAATCACGAAAGGCCATTGTCAATCAATCGATGTTGCCATCGGCTAACCATAAATTAGTATTAAAATGGTTAGAGTAAGCATTTAACGTTAATGTTCAACAATAGTAATAATTTAAATTTAAATTAAACAACTTACATATGTATATTGCTTACGACGGATATATGTATGTACACATCTACCTGCATATGTTATCGATATGTTTGTGTCGATTAAAAACTTATAAAAATATTTATTAGCTGTTGTCGTTTGATTCAAAAAAATAAAGGTAACGTATGTTTTCCATAAAATAAATTTATGTTCTTTTTTTAGACATATTTTTATATAAAGCTATGTAATTTAATAACTTTCCCAATATGCAATTTTTGAGACTATTTACATCATATCATTACAGTGACAGCTGTATATACATACATACTTATATACATAGTAGTCTGATTTGGTCGGTCACAATATTGCTGTTTAAAAATTAATTTCGACTTGTATGTGCGATAACATTGCAACACAAAAACCTATTTCATATGTAAACAAAGCGATGAGCTACGAAATCGTTTTCTAAGGGGAAACGACCATTGTACCAAACTACATAAAACACAATTTGTTTACAATCCTGTACATAACAACACAAAAATCATTCAAATAAATATTGAAAGCTTTTGCAGATTATTAAGACTTTTGACAGATTAAACGTTGCATGAATACCCTCACATATATCAGTGTTGTCAAATGCTTCGTGCAGTATTTCACATGATTGACAAACGTAATGAAAATTGCCGTGCTCAGGTACGTTCAAGCGCATACATATTTTTAATGGTATTATATATTGCTATAAGAATGTTATTTTGTTATATATAGACTTAGCCATTTCAATATTTATCGCCATTTGTCGTGGGCTATAATTTTCTGTTATTTTCAAACTTATTTCCTTTTGTAATGATAATAATAATATATTGGTATGGCAAATCGGTCGTTACGTATTGCGGGCCCCTTGCATTCTCATATGTCTGACCGTCAGCCTTCATTGTTATTCGCAGTCGTGTATGTGGATTTTTTCGTACGTCGTACAATTTTCAATTGCGTTCCATTTGCGCGAATAACTAACAAACTTTGCATAAATTATTACCCAAATACTTCAAGCGACTTTTAATTGTTAAAATAAACCAACAAAATGTCTACACTGTTGGATAATTAGTATATTTATTGTGGCTAATAAGGCATTCTTGCTTCGGTCAGTGGGTAAGCTCTTCACCTTCTCAACTCATTCACAACACAGCTGTTTTGGTTCGTATTCGTCGCCTTTAAAGCTTCTCTTATCAGGGAGTTGAAAATTTTATGAATTGCGAGCGCTTCATTGCACTTTTATTGGAAAAATAACGGAACTTGTTGTGCACACTAATTGTAAAATTATAAGTTTACTTTGCTATTCATGCCAATGCACAACAATTCAAAATCATTTTGATTCGTACACATACATATGTGTATATATGTATGTACATAGTGTGAGCTTAATTAAATCACTTTTGTTTCTATTTGTCAAGTAAAACGAAAGCATGGAAAATGAACAGGATGAACTCAGGCACAGTCATATACAACAGCACCAGCATCAGCACCAGCTACCCTATACCGAATGGGCACAAGTCAGTCGAGAGACGCGTAAGTCCAATATTAATTATCCAAATACATATGCATCTACATACATACATATGTGTATGTGTGCAAGTTTTTTTTGCATTTGTGGTGAATATGAATTTGCTGGCTTCCAACAGAATCGCCGCCGTATGCCTTGTACTATGAACAGCCGCGCGATACGATGGTGGCCCCAGCTCTATCGGACAGATTTATATTGATATCGTCATCACCGTACATGCAGGCGCAGCAAACGAGCGGCAGCAATGCATACATGCCCTTCCAATACGCGGATCCACGCGAGGCCAGCTCCATGCCGGCACCATCAACCTCTTCCCGGACAATGCAAACGGCGCTTGTGCTGCCGCGTCGGAATGGCCACGCGGCCGAGGCAGCTAACCTGGCCAGCAGTAGCAGTAGAAATGTTGGCGGCTATGAGACCGGCTTGTCGCAAGGTCGTTGCAACAAGTGTAATTATCTTTCGTCTGTTTGCCGTTGCAGCATGCAACAATCGACGTATCGGTAAGGCACATCCAAAGAAGGAGCTCATTGATTTACTTATTTACACTAATATTATACCAACTTACAGATCCCTATACTTGTCTGCTCCCATTGAACACACAATGGAACTTGTGCATTCCACGCGCCCAGACACTGGAGGTAGTGCAGTATCTGCTGCCTCAGATGGCGAGATATTTGGACTGTTCCGTTCGCGTGCGCCTATATCAGAAACAATAGTCTCGTCCAGCTCTGCTGCCACATCAATTATGTCTGTAGCCACGAGCAGCGCTGCCATCATTCCAAATACAACAACAGCCAGCAGTAGCAGCAGAACGAGCAGCCGAAGCAGCAGCAGCATCCATCAAAAGACTGAAACACATAGCCAGAGACAAAGACGAGCGCAAGAACTGGCTGAGGCGGAGTCTGACGGACAACATGGACATGAGTTACTGCCACCAACGAACAGTAGAAGCAGCCGAAGTATAGATGGTGGTGTTTGGCCAGCGGCACTCGATGACCATGCCATGGATGCTATGATGAGAAGTGATCTGCAGGATTCAATGGTCTACGAGCTGCCCTCCAGTTCGTTGCTTAGCAACAGCACCAACAGCTCTTTTGAGGCCAGCAGCAGCAGCAATGTTCTGGCCAATGGCGCCGGCGCCAACATCTATGACGATGTTACCTCTTCGGCATCGGATACGGAGCATGTGCAGTTCGCAAATACGCGCACCACTAACACCACAACCACCACGTCAGCTGTGCAGGCACACAAGAAGAATAAACATTTGAGCAATCGGGCACGCCTATCAGGCGGTGCCAACAATGCGAGTCGCTCGGTTGATGCCGCATCGCCTGCTTCAGTTATTGATTTGGATGCCACACCGAGCACGAGTGGCCTACAGCAGCAGTCACAGTCGTCTCAGCATTCCCAGCACTCGCAGCATTCTCAGCACTCACAGCAGCACTCGCAGCAGGATTCTCAGCAGCAGCAGTCGAATGTCTATACGCTATATCAGCGACATAGCGGCAACTTCGAACAGGAGAACGATAGCAGCGACGATGGCTGGGATCTGCGCATGCACAATCCCAACGAGCGTCCCGCTGGTCACGCCCATGATGAATCCGACAGTCTGCGGCATGCCGATCACACCTATTATAATAGTCGCGGCTCCACGACGGCCGCACCGCCGGATAGCAGCAGCAATGGCAACAACTACATGTCCTATATGCCGTCCGCTTCCTGCTCCACTGCCACCCACACCACTTGCAGTCTCGACTATGGCGGCGCTTCGGGTGTGCGACGCGTTCGCGCCCGGCAAAGTTCCACGGAACTGGGTGCCGCCTCTACCACATCGTCTACGCCGACATCAGAGCAGCAACCGCAGTCCGCCTCCTCAACGCCCCAACGTAGCGGACTTGTCATGGAAACGCGATTCGGTCTCGGCTCGGGCATTGTGCGTTTACGCAATCGTGTCCGCTCCATGGATGAAGCTCTGCCTATGTCTACATCAACGAACTCGCTGAATTCTGATAGCCTGGAGCCGCCACCAGCCAAGCTGCCACGCATGGCAAGTCCTGCTGCATCGTCGATGGCATCGCAACTCTCGCCAACGAACTTTTATGCTTTTCAACCTGGACGGCATCGGCATCGCACCTTTGCGGAAAGCAATAGAACTGCGCCAGAGGTAAGTGATGTGCTGAAAATTAAATTAAATTAATTATGAAGAAGTTTGTTATTTGTAAAAGCGCAAAGCTTATTTGTAATGCTCAGAACCTCAGGCAGCAGATTCCAAATAGTTTAGCTCATTGAGCATAACTAGCAAAGTACCACTGTCCGTTCCAGTCCGTCCCTGAAATGTAACCAAATTGAAATCGTGATTGACATTATAGAAACTAAACTTGGAGATTAAATTAGAATTGCAGCTTTCCTTCGCGCTTCTGAACGAAGCACTTAACGCTAATCCGCTTTACAATCCAATATTTATTTCTATGATTAAATTAAATTAAATAAATAAATTTTTTGGCTAACCACCGTTATTGGTTTTGTTTACAGCCACCACAGAGTACGCCATCGACGGTACAACCTTCAAGCGGTTCCTGCGTCATCACTTATGTGGGCAGACCACGGGACAATGATGCCAGTAATCTGCCATCGACGTCAACGGGCAGGCGGCAGGGAGGGAATGCGGAAGGCAATCGCGGCAATGCTGTTTTAACTGCTCCCGATTTGCAACTGGACGATTGGTCGTCCGACTCAAATGGCGAGGACGATGATGTGGTATTTGTACATTCAACGAGTGAGCCGATACTCTCCATTGATCTGACATCGGATGATGATGGATTTGGTGGCACAAATGAGCGGCAGATGGTGGAAAGTGCTATGCAATCATATGAAAGGCGTCGCAACAATGTGGAGGTTCCCGCTGGCCCCAATATGTTGCCGCGTCCGAGTTCAGCTAGCGAGTATGATGAACGCAGACGGCGTCCCACCATCTATAATCCGCTGAGCTATTCGCGCGTCTCCAATGGCGGCGGTGCTGGCAATGGTACCTCATTTGCCTTTTACAGCGGTGCATTGGCCGATCGGGCGGCTATAGCCGATCACACATATAGTTACGAACATCTTCAGCAAATGGGACCGGTGCGCAGAGAGCAGCGGCTGATGGGCGGACATGATGAGACAAATGGTGGGGGCGGTGGTGGCAGTGATTATGCACGCGCTACTCTTTGCACCACCGGCTGTCCAGGCCTGGAGGCTTCCCAACGTTATTTTCAGCCCATCACATCGCCGACTTTATGGCATTATGGTATCGCTACACCGCCACGCTTGCCACGCGCACCGTCCACCTCAATGACCAGTGGTGCAGCAGCAGCTTCGGGTCTACCGCCTCCGCCACAACTGGAAACAGTCAACGGCCGCTCCAGTCCGGGCGCCTACTACCATCGCTATCAGCCGTATTACGTGCCGCATTATACGATCACCGCATTGCCCACAAGTCGCAACAGTGGTGGCGATGATGGTGGCTATATGAGCGCAACGCAACCACCACAACAGTCCACGCAGACACGCTCAATACCAATTGGCAATGGGCCCTATGCCATGCCAAATCCACATTACAACGGCGGCTTAAGCAATGCCAATGGCAGCAGCCGCTCCTCATTGAGTGGCGCCATGAGTGCAGCCGCTGTAGCAGCTACTGTGGCGGCCGCCCAAGTTCAGTCGTTTAATGATATGCTATCGATGACCAATAACCATGGCCATGGTCATGGGCACGGCCATGGCGAGTCCATCGACAACGAAGGCGACTATCGCACACAATCACCGATGATGTTGCCGAGACGTACAGCGTTGACGCCTCCTGTGGTGCAGCAGCAGCAGCAACAACAACAGCAGCAGCAGATGGCACAGCAACCACAACAGCCAACGCTGCAGCAGCACCAGCAACCAACATTACCGCCAACCGGCAGCACAATGATGAACATATCTGGTGCGTTGCCGCCTCGTGATGCTGTCTCGCCACCGCCACCATTAGAAATGTACTCGGGTCGCACCACCATGCCGTACTGTGGCTCGCCACCTTTCAGCATGCGCCGCTCGGAGGCATATAACAATCGGCAACACTATCAGCCGCAACCACATCAGGGTCATCAGGCGCCACAGAATCAAATGCACGCCCACATCCATCCGCCGCATCGGGCCAGCGCCATTGTAGCCACCTCGTTGACGCCGGCACCACCCTATCCAGTGCATCAGAATTTGTGGTATCGCCAGCAGAGCATACAGGAATTGCATCGCCGCCACATGACGCCCACACCAATTGATCTCTCCTCCAATCCCCTCAATTTGACGAGCAGTCTTCGCACACGTTATCTTCACAGCATCTGCAGCTGTGTGCACGCCCGCAATGGACCCGTCTCCAGTCTCGATCCGGCCTACTATCCGCCATATGATGCCACTGCTCATGCACAGGCTGCGGCTGCAGCCGCCGCTGCTGCTGTGGCAGCCACTCAACAGCAACAGCAGCAACAAAATAATGCTTCAGGTTCGGGATCGGGCGCACCGGCGCCGTCTGGTGGTGCAACATCTGGTGGTGGTGGTGCCAATAGTGTTCAACATGGCCCCGCCCATCATCACCACCAGCAGATGCAGCAGCGACGTCGCGCTATACACCATCATATGTTCCATCATCACTACTCGCCGTTGCATTTGGAAATCGGACTGGCCACGCCCCTCTCGCTAGGCTCGTCACGCATATTGATTGGACCACCGCGACCCAGTCGTGGCGCCACTCTGGTAAGTAATATTCTCATCAACCGGAAACTTTGTTAGCACAAAAGTGTAACTTTTCGTCTGCACAGGAAACTATCGAGCGTAACACGCTGCCCCACAAATATCGACGGGTGCGTCGTCCCAGCGAAACGGATGAGGATGCTGAGAAGTGTGCCATATGCTTGTCCCTGTTTGAGATCGAGAATGATGTGCGGTAAGAGTGAGCTTCCCAGTATTTCTGTGAATCGCACCGAGCTCTGAAATTAATTCCCTTTTTCTACTTTCAATGAACAGTCGTTTGCCGTGCATGCATCTATTTCACACCGACTGCGTCGATCAGTGGCTGGTCACCAACAAACACTGCCCAATTTGTCGCGTCGACATCGAGACTCACATGGCGAAGGATGCGTTGGCGCCCAGCTCGAGTGGCGTTGCTGGTGCGGCAAATACCACCGCTTTATGACACTGTGTGCATGGCATATTCATGTAAGGGGCCTGCCTGCCGCACACACAAATATTTAGACTGAGTTCATCATGGTCAACCGGGGCAGGACAACGCTAACAAAAAAAAACTACAAAAAAAGCAGAATAATAATAGTAAACCCGTAGAAAAAAAGAAACATTCGTAAAACAATGAAAAAAAAACGAAAAAAAAAAACTGAAAAATACGCAGATTTAATAAATCTGTCAACCCACCAACAGGCAAAACTTCAAAAAGGCCGCGTTGCGTAAAAAGAAAAATATCAGAGAAAAAAATCACTTCGGCTCAAGCTAGATATCCACATACATATATAAGTGTTTTGGCATCCTATGATTTCCTATATATATATATAGATTCACACACACATACAAAAATGTACACGTTTTGTGAAACAAAATTCTTGTGATTTCATAACTGCGTATTGTTAGTATTTTTCTCTGACGGTTAATTCTTAATTTCTAATTCGCATCCCAATTTAATTGTTATGTTTTAAAAAACATGGTCACACAAAATTCTAAATAATGTGGTATCGGTATCTTGAAAATTCGCAGTAATACAAAAAATAAAACATTCATTGATATTGCATTTTCTCTTCGCTTCCCCATATCCAGAGGCCCAGATTTGTTATTTGTTATTAAGATGAAGGATAAATACATACCTATATTACAGCTCATTTATTTGCTCGACCTCGACCTGTGCCATAATTATAAATTGTTGCAAAGCATTACGACTCAAAGCTTATTTTCCATGTGAACCATTTATACAATATAACATACATACGTAATACTAATCAGTACCGCTATCCCCGACCACCCCGCCCCGTCCCCCTTAACTTTAAGTTCTTCCATGCAAGCAAAACAAACGAGCAAATACAATTAAAATTACTGGCATAATTATATGTTACAAAATAAATATACATTAATAAAAAGGTTAATTCAATAAATACAACTTCAATAAAACCATAAAATACAATTACTGGGAGAAAATGGATTGGTGTTAGATCCTAAAAGAATGATATTTTATCGCATAAGGTCCTTATACGAGTATAATCGAATCAACTTTCTTAGGCAATTATTGGAATTTATTAAAGCAATAAAGATATAGCCATTAAAAATCATCTGATGCATCACTGCAACTGGTTTAAAAATCGTGCTTGGAAACGATTTGTCCAAAAACACATCGCATTTCATTTAATCAACAAAAATGTTACTATTAGATCAAAAAGGGATATATCTGAGCATTACCTTAACTCGATTATGTCTTTTAAAATCACTTACTGGGATAAGTAGTGATGTGACAGAACGTTGTTTTTCTTTATCTAAACAGCTATAGAGAAAATCGTGATTACCTTGAAAAAGCTTTTTAAAAATTGTTTAATTTTATATATTTTATACCTGAAAAATATTCATAACCTAAAGCTTATTTTATCGTTATCCCAATTAAAACCAATTTTTATAACAACGGAATCCCAATTTCATTCAAAATATTTCAACATTTTTTTTTTAAATTATCCCAATACCATTTGGTAATTTAAATATTAAAAAGAAATTAAATGTAATTGGATTATATTGAACATATAAAAAATCTATATAACAAACCTTTTGAGTTTCGTTATCAAATATTATAAATAATATTTGCCGTATTATTACATAATTTCAAAATAATATTCAACTTAACGCCTGTTTGGGAAATCGTTTATTTCGATTCGTTATACTCACAGCAGTTAAAAATATTGTACACAGAATTTTATTTCATCCTTTGATTCAAAAGAATATATCGTAGTCTACACGCTAGGTTAATAATGCTTTATCGCTATTGGATCGAAACCTACAGATAATAAAATACAAACATTTTTTGTATAATACAAATTACAAAGCTAATGTTAAGGCAACAGGCAAATAATGCTATCTCTTCTATTTGCCAATTTTCTAAGATATGTCATAAGAATATGTAAAGCTAATGCTTTCCAGATGTAAAAACTTAATTACTTGACATACTCATAGGTACTTAAGTGGTTAATGGCATTATTACACTAGACTCAATACCTAGATAACAACACTGCTGTCTAATTCGAAATGAAATTTCTAGTCTAGTGTTTAGTGTAGTGTGATAAGGCCATAAGTATTATTTTAAATGGGCAAATATTAGGACAATTATTTACTTGTCTAACCTTAACAAATATTAGTAGCACATATTTGTCATACTCTTAGATAAAACATTTTGCATGCTATTATATATGACTGAGTAGTTTAAAAAATATGTACAATAATTGAGTTCTAGGCCATATTACTGGGACCAGCTGCATCGGTACTCCCACCGGCATCATCCTCATCGTTGGGATCTTTGGCCAGCTCGGCAAAGAAGTCTGAAGCATTTGTGCACTTTGAAGAGGGCAAATTGTGGTGTTTCTCCTTATAGGTGTTGTGTTTCTCATTGTATTTGATGTCGCCAAAATCTTCGAAGTATTTAACATTCCAGAAGCGCACGTCGTTGTTGTGTGAGGACGAGGCTAGTAGCTCGCCATTTGTATTGATGTCTAGAGCCTCGATGGGCATATTGTGTTGCCCCACAACTCCTAGATTGCGATAGGGAGCAATGTGGCAAGCATTTATTGTGCCATCCTCGCCAGCCACACAACCAATGCGATCGGTAATGGGCACCATTAAACTTATAGGATTCTTGATGCCCGGATACATGTCGCAATGGTAGCCAAAGGAGCCCCAGTTGTAGGTGTACAGTCGACCCTTTGATGTGCCCACCACAAGCTTTGAATTGCCTCGATAGATGCCCATGCAGTTCAACTCCTCCTCATATGGCTCCGATTGCACATACATTTTACGTGCGCTTATGTTGAAAGTCGTTAGATAGCCATCGGCACTGCTCACTAGTAACAATTTCTTCTGTTCATTGGTTAGCATTTGTGTAATTTGATCTTCCACTTGTTTTAACTCGAATATGGAATCCTTGGTGCGCAGATCCCAAAGCTTGACGGTGCCCGAATCGTCACCGGTCGCAAATAGACGCTCGTCCAGCACGTGCAGCTTGTTGATGGCATCATCGTGAGCAGTCTCATATAGTTTTTTCAACTTTTCTGTCTCCATGTCGGTGACCATAACGCACTTGTCCTTCGAACAGGTGATTAAATTGCGGCCATCTTCGGTGAATTCCACATCGCGGCAAGCCTTAGCATGCACCTCGATGGTGCGCAGCAGTTTGTTCTCTTTGTTTCCATACTTGTAGAGATGCACATCACCAATAATAGTGGCCAAAGCAATGATGTCACGTTCCGGATGGAAACAGATGTCCGTGATGAAATCGTCCAGCTTTATTTCTGGTGGCGAGCTGCGTGGTTTCTTAATAGCCGCTATTATGGCCCGCACAGTCTCGTCTGTTTCCTCACTTTCGTCCAGATCCCAGGCAGTTGCCTTGCTAGTACCAGGTCCGTCGTTATCATTTGTCTGTTCTTTGCGCTGCTTAGGTGGGCTGCTCGTGGCTGCCATAGAATCATCTGAATCGGAATCTTCTGCATTGGGATCGAAGCTATCATCACTGCTGATGTTGCCGTCGGAAGAATTGACTAGCTCTGCAGCGCCCTCGTTTACCTCCTCATCACTTTCTTCTTCATTTAGCGCTTCCTGTTCGATTTCGGCTATGACACCAATAATTTCATCCTCATTATCGTCAATTTCATCCTCGTCAGATGGAGTTCTGAATTGGTTAAGCCTGCAAACCGTGAGGGACCCATTCAATATCGACTCTAATACTACTATTTCAAATTACTTACAACTGCATTTTGCTGATTAAAACAATAGTCGGAATTCCTTTAATATTCCGGCGTGCACGCTCTTCTCAACAAAAACGCAATGGCAACGTCGCAACAAAACAGCTGTTGCTACGGCAGCGACAGTGCTGCCACTATCATTCAATGTTTTGCTTATTTAAAAAAGTGCCGCCAACTACGAACATGAACAACAGTGTAAGCATTGTTTTAACATATTTTATTTTAAATATCTAGCAAAGGCGTTAAAAAGAACTGAACATATATTTCCTCCGCATCACCGGACTGCATCATGAAATGCATTTCCAGTAGTCCACTAGCGTCTGTTTTAATTGCAACTTTTGTTGCCGCCTGAAGCGCTTTGTTCATCAGCCGTAACTGCTGGCTTTTGTAACGCGCAACAGTAGTATCTCGACAATTGAAGAGCAGTATCATGTCGCTGGATTTAGCTACTTCCACAGTCGACTCAGCCTGCACCACACCAACCGTGGCAATTTTAAAATGCGGACGTTGTGGAGAGAGTGTAAATTCCAATTCTTCCGCTGCTTTATCCAGTTCGTTAAATATGTTAAACAAATCCGGTCCGCGCATGAAAATTACATTCAAACTGGCACTGTTCTCATCGAGCTCATATTCAATGGGTTCATCTACGTGCAGCGTTTTTATGGCGCACTCTGTGCTCACATCGTCGTCGTTGTGCGGCTCCAGCAGTACGATTAGAGGCGCTCCATCTCCCTTATACAGCATCTTAACGCTACAATCCATCACCCCAAAAAGGCTCAAACATTCAGCAAAGACATTCAGCTTCAAGCCAAAGCTTGTCAAGTCCTTAACGTGGTATTCAGCAAAGAATTTCGGATCCATAAAGAGCGTCGCCTGAATGGATTTGCCCTGTTCTACGGTAATGCGCAAGCCTTCCTCACTAAACGTGACAGTGCCGTTCTGTAAAAGGAATCGTAAACAATTGAATATAAGTCCCAAAACGAGAGTATAGCTTACTTCTCCAAAACACAGCGATTTGATGCAAGCGTGGAAGGTTTTAATATGATCCAAATGTCCTACAAACTTGTAGTCGCCGTACTGTGATTGTGTCAACATTTTGCGATTCCTTATAATGCCTTTTTCGTGCAGTTTTTTGGAATGATACATTCAATTCAAGACGATTTGCCGGCAAGCCGGCTGAACACCAAAACATGCCGCTAAAAATCAGCTGGCAGAATGGCAGCACTGTTTATCAGTGCTGCTAAGCTTCAGAGCTGTCGTTTTAAGACTTATTCTTTTATTATTAACGCGATAAATGCAAAATTATAGTTCAACTGTGCATAGTCTTTAATTAATAATTAATAATCATTTATTTTCACTAAACAGTGCGAATTTATTTCTAAAAATATCAAAATTGTATAATTTTAAACTGCTTAATTATTATCTGAAATTAATCTTTGTTCGTTATAGCGAATAGGATATGTCAATGCGTTTCCCTTGTCCCACGAGTATAATTCCTAAAACAAATATTTTAAATATTTAGATTGTTCATAGTACTACTATAGTGGGGGATTACTTACCACCGTCAATGGGTTGTAGCCAACCGTAGTGGTTCGACTGAACGGATTAGAAAATGGCAAATTGGTGTTTAGTAACTCGCCCTTGTACAGATCAACTACATAGCGAATTTGGGAGTTCTTGTCTGTAACCGAATCAATGGCATATAAATTACCACAGACAATAAACATTTCACCGAATTGTTTATGATCCAGCGTTACATTAAAATTATATTGCATTTTTAAAGTCTCTGCATCCAACTGAAATTAACGGATTAATAAATTTGTATTAACCAAAGTTAATAAACAATTACCTTTGCGACTAGTGTATTATTGGAATTCAAGGTACTATATATGACCCAAAGACCCACTTCGTCCACGTTAAAGTCCATATAATTGTGGTCTGTGGTGTAAAGTTTGTTGTAAGATGCGACTCCGGCATATGGCAATTGGGTGGCTACAAATAGAATAATCCAGCAATTATATTCAATCTGTTCGACCACGGTTTAAGAAAATGCACTTACAGATTTTCTTTAAGGTAGTTAAATCCAACTTAACTACAAGATCCGAGTTCTTTTGATGAAAGTAGAAAGAGCCATTGTAGACGACATGTGCGTTGCCCTTAAAATATCATCAACATTTTGAAATGGTAAGTGAATATTTATGCAATTATATGGAGCTTACATGAAATCCCTCCGGTATCTCATATTTACGCCTTGGAACACTATTCATTCTGTACTGAACGCGTGTTGAGAATTCAAAAAGATTATAGGCATCGTTCTCATTGGTAACAAATGTTTTCTCACGATCAATTTCTCGGGCGGCCGGGTCCCGGAGCCAAGAACCATACATTTCGTTGACGGATTTATGGAAGACAGGTTTTCCCACCGCATACAAGAAACAGGCTATCCGGAAAAAAACGATATGATAAGGAAGCTACTAATTTTTAGTCTTTAACTTACATTTAAGGCGTTTTGGAAGGCCTGGAAAGCTGAGGTTACCAGTTGGCTGGATTTCAAAACTATTTAAAATCGAATCTTTGCACTGATACAAGCTGGAATAAAAAATTGGTTATTGAGATATCACTGACGGATTGAAACTTCCAACCTGGGATCCGGACACTGTTCGCACATTGGACACTCGCTCTCGGGCGGTGGCTTACCATAAATTTTGATATTTGTGCCCACATATGGGGTTTCACTATTCGGATCTTGAGCTGAGACAAGCAACAAGTTTAGCTTTCTTCATTACACTCTTTAGGATGTTAACTTACGTGCTATTTCGAAATTAACCATGGTAGCGTTGAGCTCATTACGTGCCACACAGTGATAGTAACCAAAGTCATCCTTACGTAAATTACTAATTGTTAAACGCATTGAGGTCTTGAAACCGTCTGGATAGGACTCCATGCGGTACTTGTCGCCGGGCTCCAATATCATGCCGTCATAGGCGCGTTCCCAATAGCGTAGGGCTTCGGGAAAGGCCTCCACCAAGCACTCCAATGTAGCGCTACGCCCATACTCGGCATATATCATTTGTCTATATACCGATATCATGGGGGCAACTGAGGGAGAAAGTTGATCAAAAGCTGTGGTAAATATAAATGTTAGGAACTTACATTGCACTTCTACTAGATAAGTCGCATTGGCAACAGGTGCGATGCCGTTGTTGGCATAGCAGGTGTACGCCGCCATCTGATTCCGAGTTATGTTAGTAAACTTAATGAACTGACCACTAATGGAGGACACTGCAATGAAAAATTAAAATTATTTTCGTTTATAAACCACTCACATACGTTTACTTACTTTCCTGGCCATTAATGGTGATAGTCCGCCCATCTTCGCGACGCCATTCCACATGAGGCACCGGGTTGCCTGTGGCCGTGCAACTTAGATTCAGTGACTTGCCCTCCTCGACGATGACAACGCGTTGAATATTTGTGGATTGCAGATCTAGAAAAAAAAGTCTTTTTATTAAATGTATATATGTAAATAATTTAAAATTCACAAACCAGTTATAGAGGGCGGTATGAGTAGATCGTTTGAGAAACTGCCATTGGAAAGTTGAACCTTCCATGCATTGATACCAGGAATTCCTGGAGTTCCATTGGTGCCAGGCTTGCCTGGGCGACCACGTGGTCCTGCAATGCCTGCAATAGTCAAGAAATGTTAGGTTGTTGTGGAACTGCTTCTTGAATTTTTAACGATTCATATTATGTTAATTATCTTTTCTTTCTTGGCAAGTTTCTTGTACTGGTTTTCTTTTTTTTGTTGACTTACACTCAGTTTCCTGTGAATTCTACACTTACAAACACATGTTTTTTCTCACCTTTGAGTCCACGCTCTCCCGGCGGTCCTTGAATACCTTTTGGTCCTGTCAAGCCATCCTTGCCGTCTTTGCCATTGAGCCCATCTTTACCATCCTGCCCTGGCAGCCCATTTTTGCCAGGTATCCCATCAGAGCCAGCACGTCCGGGTACACCATCTAGGCCTGGTTCGCCTGGAACACCGTCCCGTCCATCCAATCCAGCGCGTCCAGTGCTTCCAACATCACCTACATTTAAAATTAAATAGGAGGAGGGCAAGTTAGAAAAATATGCATTATTTCTATTACTGAAAAGGTAGGCTTTGCTGGGACTAAATTGAAAAAGGAAACTAAGAATCCACCATCCTAATAATACGAGTAGAGTCGGAACAAATGGTAGGGAAAAGAATAATATATTTGGAAAATACCCTCGGTCTAAAAAGGTCCTAGGAAGTTCTAATATCTTATAGCACAGACTCCAGCAACTAAGGGATACAAAGAAACAAATTCTTTCAAATCACCTTTGGGTCCTCGTGGTCCCATAATTCCTTGGGCACCGTCCACACCCGGGGGACCGGGTAATCCAACATCTCCTCGATTTCCCTTTGGTCCTGGTATGCCTGGTAGGCCTGGTTTTCCAGGCGGACAGTATTCCTGCGTGCCTTTGCAGAAACCAGTGATAATTTTCTCCGGCACCCGGCAATAGGTGTTCAAATAAATCCATTCGTCCCCACCGGGAGCGGCGCCCTTCAACCCCGTACGCTTACGTATCTCAGTGTCCTGCTCTTCAAGCGCTTTCCGATGATTCGGATTAAAGAACTCTATCAATGAATCTGCTATAAGACAATATTAATTAGAAGTTGAAAGTTCTTGCTGGAGTCTATTTTGTTTACTCACCATGCATGGAGGCGGGCGATGAGGATATGTCTCTGCGCGAACGTTTGATTTCTTCTGTTTCGCCAATGCTGAGCAGGTTACCATTATATTTGCGCTCATTCCTAACGATTCCCATTGAGTCCGGCGGTTTTGTTGATGTCCTGCTAAAGAAGTACGTGTTGAGATTAAGAGGAATTATAGCACATTTTTTGAATATTTTAAAACATATTTTTAAATGGCTTCAGCTTTGCTATTTGACCACAGATTTTGATAAATACAATTGAAATTATGAATATGTAATTAATGTGTATTTGGAATTCCGGTTACACTGACTTATATTAGAGTATGTATACATACTACTTATACAAAGGTTTATATAAAAATAATTATTAATAATTATCGTTTAAAAAACGTTGAATTTTGGGTTAAGGGATCAACTCATACATATTTTAAAATAAAATTAAAAACAGGGTTAAACAATAAAAACAAAATTTTAAAACAACAAATTTTGAAACAATTTTGAAGCATTATTTTTGAATGGTTGGGCTAGTGGCTATAGAGCACTTATCCAATATTATGGCTAAGAATTTGTGAAACACATATTTCTGTTTTGAAAGGTAAAGTAAATATTTGAACGGTAATATTTATAAATGTATTTATTATATAAAATAAAAACTAAATTTTAAAAATTATAGCTCATTAATTTAAGAATAGAAATTTAAAATTGTGGATAAAAGTATTTTAGATATTTAATTATTCATGCTATCGTAAATAAGTTGATTGTAACTCTGAGATGATTGATGAAGTGAAGAAATTAATTAGAAACGAAAACTAAATAATTAAATTTAGGAATGGGAAACGGACTTTGAAAGAGTTACACATTTATAGAAGAGCTTTAAAAATATACCTAAGTATATTCTTTTCTTTTAACTTTTGGAAATAGAGTATAAAAAATAAAAAATTAATATGCAAATTGCTGATACATTTCAACAAAATTATTTATAATTAAAGACATTTATTTAGTGGCCACAAAATGTTAACAAAATTATTTATAGTTAAAGACATTTATTTAGTGGCCACAAAATGTTAACAAAATTATTAAAGACATTTATTTAGTGGCCACAAAATTTTAATTATAAACATTAAATATAAAAATTTGGTCATATAAAGTCGACCACACGTTCATTATTAAAATGGATCTGAGTTGGATTTGTTGAAGTTTTTTCATTGATCATATTTTATCAAAATTTTAATTGTTTGGCCCCCCCTTTGGTAAAAGCTGCCTACGCCCTTGATTAAAGGTAATGCAAGTATTTGTTACTTACTGTGTCGTCAAAGGCAACTGCACATCCTTATCCAGTATCTGCAGCATCATGGCGCGTAGGACGTGTTCTGATGCCAACAACTCCTTTTGGAATTGCTGGTGTGTTAGAGGTGGTGGGGGTGTCGCCGTCGTCGCCTCCTCCTGGGTGTGTGTATAGAACATGAGCCCAAGTGTGGCCAAAAGAAAAGTGAGCGCGCCCAGATAGAGGTAAACGAGCGTCAATGATGGGATGGATGGACGGTCCGTGCACGTGCAACCGGGCTCGGTGGGGATAGGTGGTGGCACCTGTTGCTGGCATTGTTTACAGGCTGATCCGCATTTGCATGCCAACACGAGTTGAGCCGTCGAGTCTGTTGGCCTTAAATTGGCAACAGCTGATTCATTTGGCTTCTCTTCGCTCATCTGGTCAGCGCGTTGACGTTTTAGGGACTTGCGCACATTTTGATTTACAGCCAAGAACATCCTGGTTGCTTATTTATTGGCTTTAGTTGCATGAGTTTGGTTCAAGCTAGAAATTTATATTTTAAAAAAATGAATATATTGCTACTTAAATTGATTTATAATTTATGGCTGGCAAGTGCAGCAAACAACAGTTTTGGCTGCCGCTGCCACTGCCGCTGCCAACGCACGAGCTTTGCCTTAATTTATGATTAATTATTTATAGAACATAAAAGGGGCAGTGCTTGTTAATATAGTGTTGTGTGCATATTTTATTCACTTTGATAATGTTGGAAATAAATAAAGAGGCTGTTAAAAAGTGAAAAAAAAAATGTAGTTCACACAGGAACATCAATAATCCACAACATAACACACGCACGCCCCAAAACACAAATACGGAGCTGTGAATGGAAAACAAATAAAATCAACAAGGGCTAGACATTAAAACAAAGCAACAGAGAATACAAATAAACAATTGTGGAGTTTTGTAAACATTACTAACTGCTGTGACACGTTTTAAAAAAAAAAATCAATTACTGTTCAAAGTTTTGTTATTTGTTTCACACGTTCGTAAAATTAAAATAAAAAGCAAAGAAAAAATGCTTATCTGTGTATACATAAGAGCGGTTTCTCAGCTTTTTCACACTTCAAACCTATTTACGTACCACGTATCGTATCCGTATCCGAGAGTTAAACAGCCAGCCGAGCACTCTGACGTTTAGTTTCCGACTGAAAAACAGCGACATTTCCCACCGGCACTTTTCCACGCATCCGTTTTACGTTTCTCCTGCTATTGTTGTTGTAGATATTTTCCGAAGAGAGCGCTTTCCACGCAGCGAGTCTGTTCTTAAGAGACCTACAGAGAGGAGGCTGGCTGACCAGTGCTGGCATTTCTACGAATAATATTTATTTATTTATTGCTTAAATTGCTGAATTGCTTTTTTGTTTACCAAATGTGTTTGAATAATGCATTAATATTCAGTATACTATATAGAACTTTTATATTTGAATAATTGCTTAGCTAAGCTCGAAAGCACACTGATACTATATAGATAAATAATAAAAATTTTAACATTTCTACTGCCTTTAAAAGCTATGAATGAGACTTTGTTCAAATATTTGCTGTAATATTTAGGAAATGTTATACAGAAATTCTGTTGCATTCTTTTTTTAAGCAAAAATATTTACCTTTAATAATACAACAGTAATTTAAGCTATCAATTATAAATTGTTCATATTTTTGATGTACTGTATATTTCATTTAAATCTTTTTTTCCTAAAACTTCATCTAAAACTAACTTGCTTTAAAACGTATAACAAGATTTCTAATCAATGAAATATTGTTCATATTTGCAGTAGTATTTATAAAAATGTATTATAATAATATTTTACTGTCTAGCCCGTCTAGTCCTCAGGGAGTCTGTTTTATTTTATTTTAATTAATTAAATATTTAAAACATTAATACAAAGTATATTTCTTTTTTTTATATTTTTTATTTTCCTTGAGTAATTGCCTGTTATTTCTAGATTGTTTTTAAAAACTATGCCACTTAAATCAATTCTCTCACTCTCCGCTCTCCCGTTGTGCGCATTCTGCTCTCTTGAGCGGCGCATGCGCTTTTCTCCGGAGCGGGGGAAATTTAGGCAAAGAAGACTCAGCTGATAACAATAATAATCAAAACAAAGACGCACAAAAACAAACGATTCTCATGCTTCCGAACCAAAATAAAACAAAGAAAACAGAAACTTTTTTTAAAAATAGAGAAAATATATTCAAGCTTTTATAAATTAAAATCAATATAAATGGAATGTAATTTTTCAAGGTTGTACTTTACTTATAGTTTTTTTTTTAAAAAAAGGTGCAGGTTTTACACATTTATCTACTCAACTATATTTCTACAAAAAATAAGCCCAGCTCAAAAATTTCTAGTTCGCGTACGAAATTGTTTGATTTCGTGTTGTTTTTTGTTTTTTTACGATTTAATTATTTAGAAATTTCAAAATTAAATTCCACAATATTTTTATTTTATTTAATTAATCATAAACTTCACAATTTACTTCTCGGTTTGTCATCACTTAGGTACTTGGTATGAGAATCGCAGAGGAGGGCAGCCACAATATTATTATTTTATTTAATTTATCAGAAATTTCACAATTTAGTTCCATAATATTTTTATTTAATTTATTAGAAACTTCACAATTTAATTCTCGATTTGTCATCACTTAGGTACTTGGTATGAGAATCACAGAGGAGGGCGGCCACAATATTTTTATTTAATTTATCAGAAATGTCACAATTTAATTCCATAATATTTTTATTTAATTTATTAGAAACTTCACAATTTAATTCTCGATTTGTCATCACTTAGGTACTTGGTATGAGAATCACAGAGGAGGGCGGCCACAATATTTTTATTTAATTTATCAGAAATTTAACATTTTAATTCCATAATATTTTTATTTAATTAATTAGAAACTTCACAATTTAATTCTCGATTTGTCATCACTTAGGTACTTGGTATGAGAATCGCAGAGGAGGGCGGCCACAATATTTTTATTTAATTTATCATAAATTTCACATTTTAATTCCAGGCAAAAGGTAAATGGGTTATTATGTAAAATTAATCTTTATGATTCATATGTTGTGCATTATTAGCGAACTGGAACCATTTCAGTGGATATGGAAAACCAGATGGATACTAGCTTTCAGGAGCTTGAATCATCCTTTATACTATTGCAACTACGCTTCCATATTCCTCGGCGCCTTTTAAGTATTTTTCCAATTTGTTGTTTAAGAAAAAAAATTCATAAACATTTGTATTTATAGAATTTATTATTCGTCATTTTAAATGTTTTATTATAATTTAAAAAATCATAAATTAATACAAAATTAATAATTACACTAATTAATGAGGAAGAGCGAAGGGACTTGAAAAATCGGTACAATAATACGATACAGGAGTACTTGGATGAAAAATGCATGCAAAAAGTCAATAAATGGAAGAGACATTGTCATTCCCCCGAGGAGTAGCAAGGCCTGGACGATGGCTGCATCATCCGCACAATGTTGTGGTTTCTCACTTGTAAAATATCATTTTTGGTTTATTTGGAGTCGCTGCTCAACGCTCCAGCTCCGCTGTGATATCGCTTAGATACGCAAATTTGGGTTCGTATAGCGGACATACTTGAGCAGAGCATCGTTTTCTTCGCAGACAAACGGCTTCTTGTGGTGGCAGGCGACATCGTGCCAGTTGACGCCATCGTTATAGAACTGATTCAACAGAGCCAGACAGTTCTCGGGGGCACCATTCTGTTTGAATTCGCGATTATCGGGCTGAGGCAGACCGATGCCGCCGGCGGGCGACCAATCGCCCTGGGAACGCTCCGTGGTGGGTGCCAGTTTTTGCAGTGTAGCCGTCCAGAACCAGCCGTTGATGTTCGTGGGTTGCAGATCGGGACGCTCACAGCCCTTGAAATCGCACAAACGACCGCTGGTCCAAATGTATTTCACCTGCAAATCAAGAGAAAAGTGAGGTAAGTGAGACTGTAGACCACAAAGTTCTTATCGACGAACGTGCTTTACGAATTTTGGTTAAATGTAAATAAGTTGATGAAAAGTTTTACTGTGCCAAATAAAGTTATCATTCCAACAGTATATTGGTGTTTAAATAAATTATGCCTTTTCATTTTTCCAACATTTAATTGTAAGTCTATTGGTTGATTTAATACTTTTTGGCTACAGAATGAGAATATGGAGCCAAAGTAGGACACACGGAAAGGGTCATTATTAGAATAATTCAGTAATTGTGCCATTTTCTGATCAAAATACGTTCTAGAAATAGTAATAATTTTTTTATTTCCGTTGAAGAAACTAAAAATACTGAACACTTTTTAGCATTTATTTCTTTCGTTGGTTATTATTTGTCTTTCAAATGAGTAAAAAGATACAATAGACTAATGATATTATATAGATATAAAATAAAACAAACTTTTTATATATAAAGTGTACTGTTAGTTTAATGCGAAGAGGCCTTTTCAGGTCAGACGTTATAAGAAAATTAATTAATCCAGAAATTCTAAACGAAGTACGTATTATAAACGCCTCATAAATACCTTCAATGTGCCTTTTATTTCGGAGCCCTATTTTCAAAATAGTTTAACATAATTAAGTATTTAACTAGTTTCAAATAGTTGCAATTCAATAATGAAATAATAATGTTAATAAAATTACATAAATTGAAAAACTTGTCTTTAATCATATTTTTTTATGCTTTTTTCTAGGTATTTCAGACATTGACAGAACACTTATTTAACGTATTATATAGGTCATTTGTACTACTGAAACCCAAATGAAGATAAGCGAAGAATACAAGCACGTTTTCGACCCGAATAGTGCTATAACTTTCTAAACTTCAAAAGACATTTCTATCTGGTTCATTCTTTTTTTGTTTTTTTTTTTTGTTATTTAATTTATCTTTAATGCTATATTGTGCCAGTTTAACAAACATTGAAATCAATCGGCTTATATATTTCTGGCTTTTCCTGATTTTGTTGTTGTTGTTGTTGAAAAGTTCGTTGCACTCTTAGGTGTTAAAAATCAAACTTTCCGTTATAGGCCGCCAACGTACGCAAGAAAATGCGTTGACATGGTTCGCTGATAGAAATTTTAGCCGCTTTTGGTCGGCACGCCCATCCAACAATACCAGCAACAACAACAACAGCAATAAAAGCAACAACTATTGTTGTGCCATTGAAAGCGAATGCCGCTTCGCTGCCGCATTGCATGTCGCGCCCTTTGCGTGGTCGCTGGTTTTGGCCGCACCCGACGCGGTTGCGGCTTTTTGTTAGCCGCCTGTCAGCATTTCCATTTCAAGTGAGGCACAACAATAATATCAACAACAAAAACAACAACAGCCAGCAGCAACTATACTTGTATAGACAGCCAGCAGCAGTTAGCAGTCAGCAGATAGCAGCGTTCATCAGTCAGTCACTTTCACCCAATGGGCATAAAAATTGTTATTTTATATACAAACATACATACCAACATATATACATATATGGGTATGTACATACATACATACATACTATAGATATACAGACATATCGAACGACAATCAGAAAACTGAGTGCATCATTTGGCTTTGAGTTAAGCGAGAGAGAGAGAGAGAGAGAGAGAGAGAAGGGACATTAGCTATTGAGTGCTTTATGTTTTGGCCCTTAGGATAAATGCATTTCATTTAATTTTTTTTTGCTCTGCGGCTTTGTTGTTGTTGCTGTTGCCATTTAAAGCATTTGATATGTTTTTGCGGAAGTTCATGAGTTCACCTGCTTGGTAATTTATGGCTTCGTGATTGCCACTGCATTGCTTTTATTTGCACAAATGGCTTTTAGTTTCTGAGAAATAGCGATGAGTTCGAGAGAAACCTATGATCTTAATCTGAATATTTCAAAAGTGCAGCTGGAAATGTTCTATAAATGCTTCGTTCTGATTTTCAAACTGAATTCCAATATTTGGTCCTTTCTTACAAAAATATACGATTCTTAAAAGAAACCTGGAAAATTTAAAAGTCGAACAGACTTAAACTTAAAACTATTAAAAAATGAAATAATTTAATTTTAGAGAATAGCTAGTTATATTAGTATTTGAAGGTATTTCGGTAAAATTATGTACATTTTGGAAACATTTTTTTCATATATGCATATACACATGTATTTGTCTTCTTAAAGTTCAGTGCTCTTTAATTTGTGTTTTTGCTTTAAAAAGGTAAAATTTTAGGCAACAAAAATCAAATTTATATAGCAAATATATATTATATGTATGCATATAAAAAGAATAGCAATAATATATAATATAATGGTTATTATAGTTAGTGTAAAATAGCAGATTATTTCATTTCATCTATTTTAAAAACAAAACTTTTATGTAGATTTGCAGCAATTATCTGTTACATAAGAAAGAAAAGCAAAATTTTATGTGGGCATTAAAAAAGCAAAACAAAGCTTTTTGTGAAATTGAAAAATATAAATAATTCACTTATAATATTAGTTAGCAATTTAAGTTAGTTTTAACCATTTAATCATCAATAAATAACATCTGTTACTAAAATTTGTAAAAAAAAAACACAATTATCAGCAATGAATATTCGAAATCTATCGATAGGTAATTGATTTATGGGAATTAAATATAAATGAAATGTAATTAGCTAAAATTTGAATATTCATATCTTCAGTATAAATAAACAAGGAGATGGAAAAAAAATATGGCTGAAAGGCCAGCTACAAACTCAAATTACTTACATATCTGTTTTAGGCATATTTAAGAAAGGAAAATGGCAAATGGCAGTGTTCCAAGAAAGGAAAATAACAGATGTTCATCAGACATTATACATATAGTAAATAGCTTATTACGTATACGCATATACTTCTAATTCCAATGAACTTTGTTAGCTTGTTGATCAACTGAGAAAGGCAATTATTAGATGACTGACAATGCGTGCATTATTTTTATTTTAACTTATGCAGAATGAATGTTAAAATAAGTTTTCTTTTTGGTCCAAAACTAGAAAAATATTTTATATTTTAAATGTGTTTTCTAAGTCTGTTGTAATTGATTATTCTTATAGAAGTAGTTATGCAATTATTAATTGATTGTGATTATTTAAGACGATGATTGAATTTTAAAGATTCTTAGAGCGGTTTTTGAAGTGTCTTAAAAATTATTTCAAGCCTATTCTTTTAGTTTGTTTCCTAAGTCTTCTGTTATTGCCTCTTGCCAAACACCTCAGGTGCACTCGAATGAAAACATATATTTATTTATTGATAACGAATATTCATTCATTTAGGAACAGGAACAGGATCACTTTCTAGTAATTTTCACCATTTAAGAATGGTTTTGATATAGCGAATATGAATTGTTTCCGTTCGCTTGCATATGTTTGTTTCCCAAGTCTTTTGTAATAGCTTTTTTCATGCTATTTATTATATGTATATGTATGTATTTTTTGTTTATGTAGATATACTTTCGCCTGGTTAATTCAAATTGGATTACTTCCTGCTTGTTGTTGTTGTTGCTACTTAGGCTGCCGCTTTGTGAAATCAAGTGTGCGTGCATCACTAGTTTTTGTTGTTGTTGTTGCCTGCTAATGCGTATGATGTATAGTTTTGTGTTTTTTTTTTTGCTTAGCCAGCTCACAAATGCATTTTCGTTTTTTAGTTTTCTTCTCACATGCAAGACAGCCAGTAGGCTGGTCAGCATTTTCCAAAAGACGAGACAACAACTAATTGAGCGCTAAAAGTTGCATAAGCGGCGGCCGTATGTGCGAAATTGTTGTGAAGCTGGTTGTGTAGCAGCAACAACAACAACAATAATAGTAGCAGTAAGCTGTGGAAGCTGCAGTGGGAAAGTTTTTTGTGTAATTTCACATTGAACTTATGAACGGGTTTCGTTTGTCTGCCCATGCGGGAATAGAGTGGTGGCCGCTGTCGGAAATCGCAGTCGTTTCTCACGCAATTAAAACATAGTTAAGTTAATGAGTCACATTAAGTTACAAACTCAAATCATAAAGTGGCATCGAGCTGGTTACCGATGTCTTTGGCACACTTTTCGATCACACTTTTGAGCGCCAAAGCTGACCCGAATTGAATGCAACAAATGAATTATTGATAAGCAGGCCTGTCACAACCTGAAATGTGACTGTTCAAAGAGTTATTTAACTCACAGACTCACTCATGAGCTGTCGCGGCGAAAGTGACATAATGACTGGCAAAAAAAAGAGTAGATATTCCGCAAAATATGTCGAACAAATAAATAAACAAACAACGCAGACAGACTTCATAAATTATTGGCAATTTCTTTGATGGGCGTTGCTTTTAGCCCACAAGGCATCAACATTTCATGGATTCGTATTAATTTGTTTGCCACTTTGTTTGCATTTTTATTAGGCGGCTTTTGTTAACAGCATCAAAGGCGGCAAACAAAACAACAAATATACATACATACATTCGGCACTTTTTTTGCCTTTCCCTTAACCCGGCTATAGACCTATAGACAAGTGACGATGACTTGGCTATTTTCTTTGGACAGCATTTTATTGAATTTGCCGCCCTTTAATAATTTACTTGAATTTCATTTTTACAAAATGCTTTTTTTTCGTAGCAGGTGCAGTAAGTTTTAAAAATCAAGTTCGTTGCTCAAGTCTTTTGTTTGGCTGGTCTACTGCTTTGAATTGCAATTTGATGGCAGTTTTATTATTTCATGCAGTTGTTGGAAATTTCAATGAAACTCCAATACAAAGCGTTCAGTTCGTCGCCCAAGTCTTTTGTTGTTGGAAATAATAGTTTCGTAGTTTGGTTTTATTTTGCAAATTATGCGTTAATAAAAGCACACTTTGTATGAGAATTTAAATACAAATGTGTGTTCGACTTGACAACAGAAAACTGGGCTACAAAACTGTGTTTCAAATCTGCATAAGCTGCAGTAAGCTTTGATCGGTTGTCCTTGTAATTATTTTAATAATTTGAATAAATTGTTGAAAAATGAAAATTTTTCACTTACATTTTCACCCACAACGCGTTGCTTGATCCATTCATTCTCTAAACTAGTCTCGAGCGAAACGGAGTCCATGCAACGACGACGACAGAAATTTCTGGCCGTCAGCCAATCCTCCTCAACACCCTTCAGTTGCGGGTCACGCCAGGAGAAGAAGTAACTAGAGATGGCAGATAAATGGAGAAGAAATAATTAAAACTTTATCAGATTATAATTATGTGGGACTATTTATTAGGATTAAAAATAGAAATAAAATCTAAAGAAAAACGTTTGTAGTTTTCTTATTTTATTAGTAAAAATTGTGAATACAAACTTTAACTACTTTCCAAGCAATAAATATCACTTAGAACAATTTTGTGCTTTGAAATATTGAAAATAATAAAAAATATACACCAAAATAAAATTACTTTGAAATGTTGCTCTAATTACATTTTCTGTTTATAGAAATAAACTAATAACCAACAAAGAGAACTTTAAGAGAACTTAAATTAAAAAATAATAAATTTAGAAATTAAAAACAAATAAATTTAAATTAAATGTTTCTTCAAAAATTAAAAAAATAATAAATTTGGAAATCTATAGGCAATCAGAATTCGCAATTTATTTTTAGTGAACACTATCGATGATTTTAAATTTCAATTTAAATAATTAATTAAAACGAATGAAATAGTTTTAGATTACTATTGAAAATATGCATAAATTTGCAATGTATAATGATATTATTGTGGAAACATTAAACACATTATAAGTTAAAGGCTTTTACAACTTAAAAGGTAAGGATAATCAAAAAATTCTTCAAATGTATCCACTGATTTAACAATTTATTTAGACGATCATCCTAATTGTGCCAAAATTTGCAGTAAAGCTTTTAGATTATCGTAAGAAGATTTATTAATCCAAAAGCTGCCATAGCAATGGTAAGAAAAAGTTTGTACTTTTCATTTTAAGAAAAAAATAATAATAAATAACAGCTATTTAATATTATTCTAAATTTAATGTTTAAATCATTCTAAAATTGACAAAAAGTATTTTAAAGTTATTTTAGCATTGTTTTTTTAATTTTTAAGAGCATTGAAATATTTAATATTATATTATATTAATTATTATAAATAAATAACGAATTCTTTTAATCTTTTGTAAAAAATACTACATATTTAAAAAAAATAATTATTGAAGAATAGACAGCTAATGTGTCTCTGACTTGTTAATATAGAATTGTAGTAAGCATGGAAATAAAAAGTAAGAGAAATTCCATAGGAAGTCCTTTAAGGATAACAAATCTCAATATTTCCATTGAAAGTCTTAAAAGATTTGAAATATTTTCTATGATTTGCTGTTCCTATTTTGCATTTTCCTGTCTACATACTTTTCGACTTTATCGCCATTATTAAACCATTATTTAAGACACGGAACTCACCCTTTGCCATCGGGTGTCTTCTCGTGTATGATGCGCTGGGCGCATAGTTGAGGATTTGGTGGTTCCAGACGTCCGTTCTGGAACTGAGCCGCACCGATGCTCAGCACACTGAACAAACACACACCGGCGACAATGAACGCTTTCATTTTCAATATAGTATATATTTCTTTTTTTTATTTTTGACTCACGCACGCACCGCACTTTCGTTTATCGTTTATTGTTCGCGACGAGTTGTTAGCAACGACCGACCAGACTGCATTGACATGAAATTTTTTGGTGTCACCCCGCTTTATATATGAATCCGAGGGCCCAAACGAAGACGCTCGCTGAGCGTAACTCCAGCATTAAACGCTCATTCGTTTGTCGATCAGCTGAGCGGACTCATTGAGCTTTGAGCTGCACCTTGAGTGAGTAAAAATAGGAAACCAACAACAACATGAAACAAACGTACAATGATGATGTTGGAAGAGCGCATCTGTTGCATGCTAAGTGGATGAGCGAACGATTGTTGCCAATTTCATAGAAAAAAATTATTAACACTTTGCAGATGCATCTGCGAACTCCCTTCCCAGTCTGACTTGCGCCAGAGAGCGATTTTGTGACTTTACGACCAGTATCTATGCAGTCGTAATGCATAATTGAATTTTCAAACGGGTCGCTCGCTTCACTCCCAACTCTTCTGGCGCTTGACAATTTCGTATTTGCTTTTTTATTTTTTTTTTAGCCACTTTGCATAATTGAATGCATTTTAGTTTTGTGCCTTCTTTTTTTTGTACACATGCCGTTGAGTATTTGTTTCTGAAACCCATGCGAGTATTTACTCTGGTTTTTGGTTTGGTTTGTCTTTCGTTTTGCCTGCGGCCATTACGTAATTCGCATTGTTGACCAAATTTATTTTGCTCAGTGCCGCAGGTGCCATTTAGTTGGCCGACACTCGCGAGGCTTTCCAATTTTCTAACAGGTGATGGCTGATTTATGGCCCCGCTCGTTGATATCAGCATTGAAAATTGAGGGAATCGCGTGCCAATTTCCCAATTGTGTGCTGCTTTAAATTATTGAAAATAATGAGCAAATATGAACAAATATTTAAAATTGTAGAGTCTAGGGGTGAATATCTATTTAATGCTCTTTAAAAATATATTATATGGTTCACACTTAAATATACCTTAACCACACTTTCAAAACTGGGAAGTTCTCAGAATGCCGCATCGGGTTCTATCAATGTGTTTAAAACGCCGCAAAGGCCAGATGCTTCTGTTTTCCTGAGAATGCTGACCTACGGAAGCCCCAACTTAAGACATAACTCAGTATTGGGCAGATTATTGGATTCCACTTTGGCGATAGAAAACTAGATGGTCTCGGCCCTGCATTTGTCAATATTTCAGGCAATAGCTCCATTTGAATTCAAATTCATATAATGTTTGATTGAACAATATAATAAAAAAAAAAATAAAATAAAATAAAATAAAAAATTTTATTGAATATAAAATTTGTAATAAATAAATTTTAAAACATCTTGAAATAAACTTTTTTATTTATTTAATATAACGTAAATGAAAAATGCATTTCATTTAGTTTTTGAAAGTAAAATACGTTTTTAAAAAGTAAAAAATTTAATTGTATATAAAAAATAATTTGAACAATTTAAGAAATTATATTTAATATTTAATATACCATATTAATATTTATCTATTATGCTTGTTAAAAATTTGTGTTTTTTTTTAAATTTATAAAATCTTTTTTGAAAGTAAAAATTTAATAATACCTGCCACTTTTAATAATAATTACACCATTTCATTAATTTAATTAAAAATGGTCTTTATGTCGGCACATTGTCATGTTAGGGTTAAAAACAACTCAAATGTACCTATAACACCTGAGTAATTTACACATTAAAGCAAATTGAACCGATGAGACATATATACTCGCTTACTTATTGGACTGCTACTTGGTTATTGAATCTTGGATATTACGTGATTCTTGCAATTATACGAATATTTTCATACAACTTCCTAACACTTTATTGCAAATAGTTTTGCAAAACTAGAAAAATATACAACCGAATTACAATTTATGGGAATTATAATGACAAAATCTCAATGTCAGGAACTATCTTATGGAACAAATTAAACTTGAGCGTTCTCGATGTTATGTTGTAATCTAATCTTTGTGGAATTTCTGAAACTTAAAATAATCACAACAATACGTGGAGCAGTGCAGCTTTTTCCAAATTGTATAGTATTATATTTATTTATTTGCGTTTATTTGTCTTGTATTATTATCATTTCTTTTAATTTGTAAGTATCTTGTCATGTATAAAAAACACTTAAATCAAAATGATGAGCACGAAAATGAATTGGCCTTCCGCCTACAAATAGTTAATAGTTTAGGAAACATTTATTTTATATCACTATTTGAATTGAAAATGAAATTTTTGCATAAACATGGGTGGCAAAACATTTGACTAAGTGACTAATTGGAATTCGGTATAATAAATATATACTATATGTTCGTGGCCCATCCATCAATGCCAGCTCTTAACATTTAGCTGTTTGCAAAATTTTGAACCCAAATACAACTCTTTCATCTTTCTATGAAATAGGTGGAGGAAAAGAAATGCTCAAACAAAATGAGAAACAGGTCTGTTTACACACTTGTGTCTGTATGTTTGTATGTCTTTAGGTCTTTATATATGTATGTATGTATGCATGTATGTATGTAGGTTGCGTGTGTACTTATATTTCACAAAAAACATGCGCAAACATGGGCGAGGCATTGCGAGCAACGTAATCCGAAAGATGCATCTGTCAAGATGAGACCCAAATACGGAGCACCTGTCCGGATACCTGACACACACACACGCACACATATGTATTTGTGTACCCTCCTGGCATGCCTCACTGCACGTGATACGGACACAAAAAAAAAAATGCAAAAAAAAAACAACAAAATTTATAATAATTTTTGAAAAAAGTTGAAATGCGTGAAAACGATTGCTCGCGATGCTGCCAACGGGTTGGGTCTATAACTTACCTCTGGTTGGTGAAATTTTTGGGCTTTTTTCTTTCATCTTTCCTCTCGTGGCAGCGGTGCTGACCTTGATCTGCAGACACGACTTGCGTTGGGGGCTGATGATGAGTTGAGGTGAAAATAAGGCAGATACGTGCGTCACATTTTTATAATTTTTTGTTTGTTTTAAATACTTATGCAAGCTTGAGTTATGCAATGAACTAAACACTTGTTTACAGTCAACTACATGCACACTTTTAGTTGGTTTACATATCCAACTACAAGTCTATGTATATTCGCTATAAAATGCTTTCAAATATTAAACAACATTTTAATGCTGAGTCGAAAGTCTTGAAAAATTCTATACTCAATTAAAATGAGTAGAATTTTCAAATAAAAAAAGCTTTAATTGAAAAGCAAATGTTACACAAAATATGTAGAAGAATGTGTAGTACAGAAGAATTGTATATGTCTGGGAATATATTTCTCTCAATTGGCAGTTATAGAACTTGAAAACAGACTTCGCCATTTCAATCAGATATATTGTGCATATATATTTTGTGCCAATATTATTAATTTTTCGCCATAAATTTATCGTTTTTTGGGAACGAGAACATCAATCAAGTTCGTTTCTCTACAATGCAATCGAATTTTGAAACGAACAGGCTTGATTAACAAAAATACAAAAATAAATAATTTTAGTATTACCTCCAATATGTTTTAGATTTACTTTTACAAACTGTTAGCGAAATTTTGTGCATTAATTGTTTACTTTAAGTTTAGTTTAATGTAATACAGCATTTAATCTTTTTAATCAATTTTTTAGTTCTCTTCGTCAATTTATTTGTTTACAAATTTTTTTTCCACAGATAAAACGCCCAAAAGCAGTCTCAACATTTTGTATTCAGCACGTAAGGAACGTGTAAAAATTAGTTAATATCTATAGCTCAGAATTCCATGTCCTGCACAATCAATTTGAGAAGTATGTTATGCTACATATATGTCCAATATAATGATCCAGTATTTGCAATGTTTCATTGCGCGCAAGGCAACCCCGATATCAGTAGATCCCTAATCTTTAACAATAGCTCTAGCGATCAAACTTTAAAGCGAGGGTTCATTTTTGCTAATTATATGAATTAAAATTAGTTCTCGTATCGAAAATTGTCTTTGATTGTAAAAATATCAGAAACATTTTGCTTTTTACAAAAGAGTAGATAGTAGAAAACAGTTGAACGATGGTGGAATAAAATTTTTGTTGTAAGACACAGTGAAGTGAGTAGGAAGAATGTTCTAAGACACATTTAAGGTTAAATAATTTCGATGCAAAGTCTTTTCCCCCCTTTAGTCATTATGTTATATATAATCAAAATACATTTTTAGTGAAAGAATTGAATTGTGGAGATAACTTAAGCTTAGTTTACAAGCGAAAAAAAACCCTCAAATTTGTATTCTATACTCCTACCATAAGGACTTCATAAAAAAGCACGCTAAAATGTTATTAAGAATTGTATAATGTACGTTTTTATGTGTAATTTTTGATCGAAAGATTGCACAATGTAATGCCATTGTTAGGGTTTGGAAATTTTCCCAAGCCGACTGACCGAAATTTGTTAAATTCATTTTACTGACCGCTTTTTATTTGTCGTAGGCCTTCTTTTTTTTTCTTCGGTTGTTTGTTTTATTGACAGCAACAAAAAGCAAGTTTGCAAGCATTTAATAATTTATAAACGTGTTTTGTTTGGCGTTCAAACAAATTGTGTTGCCTTGCAATTACAAAATGAGAAAAGCAGTGATGGAGAGATGGAGAGAGAAAAAGTAAAATCACTTTTATGGCATAATAACGATTAAATGCCACAATTATGGATGCATTGTTTAAATGTGGATTTACTCTGATGTTGTCGTTGTTGCTGTTGTTGTTGGGGGCGCCATTCCCCATATTTATGTCAACTGCTGATTAGGAACTGAACGCCAGTGTCAATATTTCAAGAGCCAATTGCCACATGGATGTGCATGCTGAGGCACGTCGCGTTTGCTTATTAAAAAATTACCGCATATTTATGCAATAATTGAGCGGCTGGACAGTGAGACAGTCAGACAGACGGACATCGTACCTCGAACAGACCCAACGATGCTGCCGATGAGTTGGGTAAATATTAAAGGAGAAAGTGCCGTTGTTGGTTGTCGGTTGTCGTTGCCTCACTGTCAAGTTTTATTTTTTCGTACATCGAAAAATATTTTGCACAAAATATTTTGTTTAAGTTTAAGTCGCAGTGTTTACTTAATTATTGCCTTTGTTTGCACAAGAAGAGAGTGAAGTCAGCCTATTTCCACAGGTGTGGATAATTTGTGCAAATATTTAGAGAAATAGATATATTTAGCATGTTCCATACATCCTCATACAACGATCGGCCATTTATTATTACTTGTATTTATTATGCCAGAATGCCAGTCTGTGGCAAGTCCCCAAGTACGTCCATAGCTTTTGACGCTCTTTAATTTTCTGCCTCGTGGGCCCCCAATGTCATTGGTAGTTCAGTTTTGGTTTCATGAAATTATTATTATTTATGTCGCCGACATACCTACGCCTCATAGTGCTAATAATAATTAAAGTTTGCTTTATGTTCGAGTCGTGTTTGGATTTCAAATTGGTGAATTTTGTTTGATTGTGTGTTTTTTTTTCTTCAATTTTGTTCTTGCCGGTTTATTAAAAGTCAACTATTTTGCATTGAGTTTATTCAAATGCCCGACAAATCGGAAATCAACAAATGTAGGTCAGCTTATGGCCACAGAGGTAAGGCAACGAATACACGAGAATATATGTTTTATTTGAACAAAATTGCAGGTGCAATAAACCAAGAGTTTATTTATTTATATTTCCTGATTCATCAAAATATAGCCTTATGACTAGGGAGATTTGACCCGCATTCGGGGAAAAATTGCTGAAATGAAAATTACTGATTCATTCTCTACAGATAAATAAATCAAATTGAGCTTAAAGCTTGGAAAATACAACTCACAATTATGATCGAATGTGGTGTAAGATATTGAAGAACATATATTAAATTTCAGTAGTCAATCTATTTACTTCAATATGTATTTAATTAATTAAATTGATTGCTAGCGACAGTTCAAAGACTAGTCTTTTTCCAACAAATTGTATGAGAATTTGTTTTTTTAATAAGTTCTTTAATAATAGTGTGCCTAAGTAAAGGGACTCCATCCTTTATCAATTTTGAATATGGTTGAGAAATTTTCTTTTATTTTGTTAGATAGATTTCTTAGTTTTTAAATTAATTCTGCATCGTCTTTATGAACTTGATGTTAATCATGATTTAAGGCCTTTTACACCATCGACGCAGAGTCTAATCTCCATAAAAGCTACTGCAAAAGTATGTGTGGGTCTCATAGGTGTTTACAAGTATTTTCCGAAAAACGTATAATGCATATGAATTGGAAATATGTACAGCTGAATGTCATGTCGAATAATTTAACATACGTTCACTCAAATATCTAATATGCATTTTTTTAACATGTATAAATCAGTCTATTATGTACATGCATATGCAAATAGGCTGCGAGTAATATGTATTCCCCACTGCCACATATATGGCTTTGGGGGCCAAGGCTGTGTGTGTGTGTGTGAGAGAGGGTTTTGTGTCAACACTTGTCCAGTGCCATCAACGTTGCTGAACTTTTTGGCATCTGACCGACCCATTACTAGGCTAGGCGCCATCGAGAGGCAACGACAACGAGAACGGCATGTTAATGAACATTGCCGCTATTTTAATTGCAGCTGACAAATAAATAATAATAATAAAAATGATTTCGACAATAGGCCGAGCAAGTATGCTCGGTATTGTGTAATAGGTCCCATAATCATAATTTTACGGCTGACACTCCGCTTTGGCTTTTGGTCTTCAGATTTTGTTTTTTGTTTTTTTTTTTTTGCAAGGTGTCATGTCGGACGTGTAGTTACCCCAATTCGAACATTAATTGCATTTCAAATAGCAGCCTTGGGGCGGCACAATGCGCTTTCGTTCACGTGACACTTCGTTTGTGCGTTGGACATATTTATGCGTTATTCAGATATGCGCAAGTGTCATTTAATTACAATTTTCTACAAACAAAGTGAAATAAATTGCAACAAAAGCCGACGATTTCGTAATTCATGTTCGTCACGAAATGATTCCCTTGCCAAATTCAAATGCCACACAGTTTGCAACAAGTTCAGTGTCATTAGTACGTGAGATAAGTTTTTGTTTTGGCAAACATTCAAGTAGACTCTCTGCTGTGCAATTTATACGAAAAAAGTGTTTAATTGCAAAGGTAACGACCAAACTGCGTACCAAATATCTTTTCAATAGTTCTTTCAGAACAATTCTATCAAGGTAACATAAGTTGATCAAAACTAATGTATATACATATGTAATATATACTCAATTCATCGCTGAACAATATTTTTGTGTGGGTACATTTGAATTACGCGGGCCCATTCAACTGCTTTTGTGTCTTACAGAAGCTAGCTGATACGCAACTCGGAATGTCACTATTCGTTTCGATAATCGTCATTTTAATCGCTGCTATACCGATACTTTCGATAAGTCAGGTAGGTCGGAGACGCTTTGTTCTGCGAGCTGAAAATATTTTCTGTCGCAATTGTCAAATTTTGCGAAAATTTGTGAAAATACAACGCCTATAGGATTTAAACATTGCTTATACATTTTGTAAAACAAGTGAGTTGTAAAGTAAAGAAAATAAAGTGTATAAAATAATAATTTGTCGTTTGTTGAAATTGCATCAACATTTTCAATCTGAAGAAGAAGAAGCAGAAAATTGAATTCGACTGCGCATACAAGCAAAAATTACTAGACAGCGCATAAGCACGTTTATCAACTATGGGGCGCCGCTGCTGCGTCGCTGGCTGCCCGTCGACTTCGCGTCTGCCGGAACACCATGGCGTCACTTACCATTCCTTTCCCCTGGATGCCGTCATACGTGCCATTTGGATAAAGAATTCGCGTATTAGCCTGGATCGCCAGATCACAAAGAGCGTGCTTGTTTGTTCGCGCCATTTTCGTCGCCTCGACTTCCACACCATACGCAATGGCAAGTATTTACTTAAGCCCCGTGTCTTCCCCACGGTCTTTCCCTGGGGAAAAATGGATGCCAGCGAAATAGAAGCTGATCATCGGGCGCTACAGCAGGCTACTGTGGATGGCGCTGCCGCTACGGGTGCAGCAAATAACTCCACCAGTGAGGATGTCATCAAGGCGACGGTCGATGCAATAGTGGCACAAATATTAGCCGAAACGGCCGAACGCAATGCAGCAGCGGCGGCGGCAGCCATAGCCAAGCCCGAAGTAGATGCCCCGAAGCCTGCGCCCAAGGTCAGTGACGAAGGCGTTGCAAATACCAATAGCGTTGCTATTGAGAAATCAGAGGATGTGGCACCAATGGCAGTTAGTGATGCCGAGACACCCAATACCAATGCGGCCTCCCCGGCACCGCCGTCTCCACCCAAATATGGACCGCCTACCAATCTTATTATAGGCGCACGCCTCGAGAAATTGAACAGTGAAGGCGCTTGGATGCCCGCACGTATTGTCGAAGTCAATGATGCTGAGCAGACGCTGCTAATACGCCTCGATCGCAACAATAAATTGAAAACATCGCCAACAACAAATGGCGGCACTCAGGAATGGATGGCCATAAAGTCAGAACGTTTGCGCCAACGTGTCAGTGCACGGGTGCTGCCCATATTCGAGTTGGAGGAGAAGTGTATGGCCCGCTGGTCTGGGCCACGTAAATTTCCCGGCACCGTCAAAAAGCTGCTCGGCAATGACACCTATGAGGTGCTCTTTGACGATGGCTACACCAAGAATGTGCGCGCCGTCCACATGAATAAGCTGCCGAGGCAATTGGCAGCTATTGAGGGTGTGGAGCCGCTGGTAAGCGTACCTGCTGCTAAACGCCCAAGTGGTGGTGGTGGAGGTTTTGGCAGCAACAAGAAAGGCAAGGCGACGCCACAACGCAAGGATTGGCCGTTGCTGGACATGTCCAATTTAGATTTCGGTAAGTTGCGTTCAAAAACTAGCAATATTTGGCTTAAAACTAAATATCAAATACTTACAAAAGGTTATATTTAGATAGAGGGAATATGGATGGATTCAGCTTCTTTTTCATCATTTTAAATCATTAAAATGTGTGGGGTTCTAAGTAACCGATTTATAATAACTACTAGATTTGTAGCTAGCTGCAAGTCAACTTAAAGTTTGTATTTCACTACGACTTTTATCCTCATCACAAAACAGACTTTTTGAAGAGTGGTTCATACTTCTTCCAATGCCGCCAATCCAACTTTTCTTTTCATTCCGGAAGCATTTTGCTCGTCGTAATACTTAAAACGTTCGTTTGTCCGAATACTGAAGGGGGGATTTGTAAGCCGCAAACTTTAAACCCTTAAACATTTTATATTTACCTATGAATGCCCGTTGTAAAATGCTTTCGGGTATTTTTTGAGCAATTATAATATTGGAAAAATATATATAAAAATATCTTATTGTTATCAGAAACTGCCGTTTGAAATGCTTTCGCGAATCAGGATTGCAAGATGTAGATGTAAACAAATATATATTTTAAAGCTAGAAAAGGGCAGGTTTTTTAATTTGCCAATACCCTGAAACTATTCTTGAGGGACTTCATGATTTAATAACGACTTATTTACGACCACCCATCTCATTTTAACATATTTAGGTAATTCTGCCCACTAATTGGAATAAATAATAAAAAAAAAGGTTCATCCAAGAAAAAAAATTACTATATGCTATAGTTTCCAATCTGATCCGCCTCAGTAAAAAGATGAAAACTATCGGAGAAAGATAGACGAATGGATGAAAGGACAGAGATCTCGCCATTTATGCATCCATTACACATAAACTCACAATTCAAACATAAACCATAAAAAACCAAACACTACACACCCCAACACAACATGGATCAGACCACCTTGATCATTAATCATAAAACATATGTAAATGGATGTAAATAAATAGTTCATTAACTAGCATAGAGCTTTTTATTATAAGAACTTATTGATAGCATTTAGTTAAAATTGCAATAATGCCAAACTTCAAAGTATTAGGCTTGAAAAAAAAAAACAACAAAAAGCCAGATTGGCAGCACATTCGCGAAATGCATTTTTTACGACGCCATTTCAATCGCGATAAGCAATCGATATTTATTACAGTTATTTTAAAATCGTGATTGGCGTATGGCAACACTGGCCGTTCGCGGAAATTACAAGTTGGCAATGAAGCAGAATCGAGAGGCACACTTTATTAGTAAATTCTATTAGTTTGTCATTTATATTACACATCGTTTGAACTTATTGTTTATTTTTAGCCGCTCTGGGTCTGCCTGAAATACCACGCGATGGCGAATGGACCTGTCACTGGGTGAACGATCAGCCCATTGGCGCCGAGGGTTTTCTTATTGTGGGCGAGCACCACAAGCCAACGGTTATTGTGCAGGACTGGCGTCTGCCACCCGGCTGGATTAAGCACATGTATCAACGTTCCAATGTGCTGGGTAAATGGGATGTCATACTTGTTTCTCCAAGCGGCAAGCGTTTTCGCTCCAAGTCCGATCTGAAGGTATTCCTAGAATCCCAGAACCTCGTCTACAATCCGGATGTCTACGATTTTAGCATTCATCGTCGTCGCGCCAAAGACATCAATGCATATGTCTACACACACGACTACAGTCCACAGCAGCCATCGAAGCCCAAGCACATGGACGTCTCTTTCGATACGTCAGCGACAATGGAGACGAGCACCACCAAGTCACCGGCTTTGTCATCCACACCGGTGACCCCGGCACCAACGCGACGCGCCGCCGAGGAGAGTCAATATATGGAGGCACCTGTAGCGTCCTTGATGCCACCGGCCGAGCTAATGTCGCCGCAAGCGCCGCAAACAGCTGATGTGGCAGCGTCCACCATGGAGACGATAGTCGATGGCGGCGTATCTGTCCCCAGCCCAGCTCTGGGTGCAGATGAAGGTGGAGGGGCGCCGGTGGAAAATGGCTTCGGTAATTAGAAAATTGTTATTCAGCCTTCTCTGTACATTTTAAGAAAGTATGCCTGTTCTTTTGAGCAGCAGAAGGAACCTGGCTATATTTAGTCCTCCCAACCCTCTCTGTACATTTTAAGAAAGAATTTTGTATGCCTGTTCTTTTGAGCAGAAGAAGGAACCTGGCTATATTTAGTCCTCCCAGCCATTGTATAAAAAAATTTGTATTTAAAACAATGTGGCTGCAAAATGCAACATCATCAAACATCATCTCTAGCATTGGGTAGATCGAGAAAAATATAAACTCGTCCTCTACCAAACTCTATAAAGCTTCCATACCAAGATTATTGACTCTAGCCATTAAACTGTCGGACAGAGACAGACGTATTGTCTAAAACGGTATCATTTCGATTCTATTCTATAATTTAATCGTCTTTAAAAATGATTTTAATAGCTTTTAAAATTAGTTTTATTGTTAGGCAGGAATTCGAATTTTTTGAAAATTTTTTTTTTTAGATTTTCTTTAAAATGTGCAGTCTTTTAATTTTTATTAAACTTATTGAATATCTTCCTCATTTATTCTTTGCAGCTTTTATTGGTGGTCTAAAGGTGCAGATAACAGACAATTTGTTTGTGTGCCCACGCGAGGGCTGCGGCAAAACCTATCGGAAGGAGGATTTCCTGCAAATACACATACGGCACTATCACAAGGAGTTTGCACAGTATGTTTAAAGGAGTTAACAGAATTAGTTTTCTTTACTTAATACTCTTTTTTTAACAGACATGTCAGCCATTGTCCCAAGATGCAAGAGTTGGCCATCAAACGCACACATCCCTCGTCCACAGAACAAGCAGATGCTGTGCCTAAAAATCAAATACCAAATCAACAATTCTTTGCCAAACTGCATCAGCAAGATATACAGCATTCGCGTTCATTCCGACGCCAAGCGACGACGACAACAGCAACTTCACCTACTGCTGCGACGCCAGGCACGCCTCCTGCTTCTACAGCTGCAGGTTCACCTAACAAGGGATTGGTGTCGCCGAAATTGGAGCCGCCAAGCACACCAACAAGCAATCAAGTGGCTTTAAGTCCAACTGTCTCCACTACAGCAGATGCTACCCCTTCACAATTGGAAACCGCCAAACAATTGGTCACATCACCTTTAGCGACCCAAAGTCGGTCCGCCAAGCGTTCACGCTTCTCGTCAAACCGATCGAGCAAACGCCAGTCGGGCTCCAGGAAAAGTAGCCGACAGCGTACACAGCGGCGTGATACGAATCTCCAACATAGCGTTGGACAAACGCTTTCAGCAGCTCCGGACTACGAGGAGACACGTCAGTCCTTCAACACTCCCACGCCGGAGGGCAGACGCAGTGGGGCGAGTGAGGTGAAGAAGCGCCGCATCGGAAATATGGGTACGCCCATTAGTTCCATTGACTCGCCAGCCACTGCAGACTCTGTGTCTACGCCCTCGTCCAACGAACCTGGCGATATAAATGCTGCTTTGGCACCGCCATTAAAGACGCCCGGCCCTGCCCCGCAATACATTAAAGAGAACGGCGAACTAATACGCATTGTGCGTATGCGGCAGGAGGAGATTATCAACTGTATTTGTGAGTATGGCGAGGAAGATGGTCTGATGATACAGTGCGAGCTGTGCCTGTGCTGGCAGCATGGTGCCTGTAACGGCATTGTCAAGGAATCGGATGTGCCCGACAAATATGTCTGCTATATATGTCGTAATCCACAACGCGTACGCGATTCTATGCGCTTTAAACACGATCAGGATTGGCTGTTCGAGGGAAAGCTGCCTGTCGCCAACTATCACACCTTCAATCCGCAGGTTACGAGAAAGTTCGAGCTATTGAAGCGTTCCCATACACTCACCGGCAATTTGCTCGATGCTAAGCGTTCAATGCACTCATTGCTGGTCAAGATTAACATTGCCAAAAATCGCAGTCATCCCAAACTGTATCTGTGGGCTAAAAAATGGGACGAGGATAAGGCGGATAACGCCCTCACGCCAGTAAAGCGCATTAAAACTGAAGCACCTGATCTACCACATGTGCCCCAACCAGAGGCCGCCATTGATCCAGAAGAGTGTCAGTACCGCCTCATTGAACACGTAAAGGTGCAGCAAGGATTAGTTATGAATCGCCTGAACGATATTGAAGCGGAAATGGATCGTAAGTATTAAAACAGATCATTATAATAGAAGAAGTAAACTAATAATCTTAATTTTCCAATTAAAATAGAGCTTGAAAAGGAAGACAATTTGGTTGATCTGAAAGACTCGGATATATCAGGCACGAAAGAGGCTGTTGCAACATTCATTAAAGAACTGGAGACACTTAAACGCCTGGCCAAGCTCAACAATGTGGCTAATATGAAGAAGGCTCTGAAAGAGCAAGAGCTTAATACGTTAACAGTGTAGAGTTGGAAACTTGTTTGCTTTGAAAAATGAAAGATAAAGTATCCTCTTACATGCAGTGGTTTATAACTTAGAGAGCATAAGCAACTCACAAGCATCTTGATCTAAGCGATAAATAAAAATAAAGAGTTAAAAATGATGACCTCTAAATTATGTGTTTAAATTTAAAAGAAACAACTTCAAAAAATCTTATTCAGCTAGTCTTCAGCTAATCTTTCTAATCTTTCCTGCGATTATATATTGTATCTAAAAGCTTTATAAAACTCTTTCTCTGCTTTCCACTGAGTTGAATTAATTACAAATTTCACCCTCGTCAAATAAATTTGTTACTCGAATCCTCATGTCGTCTCTTAAGCTTTTGAAAATATATTCTCAGTTTTATGATTGTTGACTATTACCAGTTGTGAATACTATATTATTACTATTATATAGTAGCTAAGTTAAATAATCTATGAAATCCATCAAATAGCTGATATAAGAACAATCGCACATTGTTGCATACGCATGATATTGGAATGTTATGGTCAATTTTCTTTACTTAGTGTGGCTAATAAAAAAGCCATGTCGTGTTCTCAGAAAAAAAGTGTCAATTCGAGTTGAAATGAGACGAAGCATTGTAATCTTTTCTGTAATTTTTTCTCTGTCCGCCACGTCAACAGATTCCTTCGATTCGCTGAAGACAGTACGAAGTAAAAGTGTGTCAAAAATAATATTCTCTTCCTCAAGTATTCCTATTTGATGCAGTTAGATACAGCTTCAATGAACTGCCTACTGATGGAACTAAGGAGGCTGAAATGGAAAGTGTTTTGGATAATCGAAGTAAAAGAATAGGGCATAATCGAAAAACGGAAAACATCACAAGATACCCGTTCGTAGTTTCCCTGCAGAAACAGGGCAAGGAGTATTACAAACACATCTGTGGTGGTGCCATCATCGATGAGCAATTTGTGCTAACATCGGCACATTGTATCCTAAACCCTCAGCAGCTGTCCACCACAAGCTTGAGTATAGTAGCTGGAACAAATCAGATCTATAATCGTTCTAGTGCGACACGTTTTCATATCAAAGAGATAAGAACGCATAAATTTTTTAAGCCACTCAAGGGCAACGATATTGCTCTGTTAAAGGTGGAACCCACAATTCCCATTGATAATAAGCGTTTCAGTAAAATTGATTTCAGAAATAGCTCACGAAAGGTGGCTGGCTTGGAGTCCCTTATGCTTGGTTGGGGACGGAACATTGTAAATGTAATAAAAGACATGGAAGTCGTGCCTTTCCAAACAATAGAGGATGAAGAGTGTGAGTTGAAGCATCGTTTCAAATATTTGACCAAATCGGAAATCTGTGCTTTAAGCAGAAAACGCGGAGCCTGTGATGTAAGTATTAAGCTTCAGAATATTTGTATAAAATTTTAAATTATGTAATATATAAAAAGAATTTAATGGAATTATCCAAAAAAGAACTAAAATAATATTCAAAATATTGAAAAGAAATCTGTGCTTTGAACAGAAAAGGAAGCCGCACTTGTGATGTGAGTATTAAATGTGGGAGGATATCACGTAATTTAGAAGAACTGAAAATACTATACATATGTAAAAGAAAGTATCTGAGCCTATAATAAAGCCTTATAATATTAAATTTTTTCTTGTTTTTGTAGGGCGACTCAGGCGGTCCTCTTGTTGATGTTGAGTCCAACGGTTTCTATGGTTTGGTCTCGTATGGTAGAAGAGCTTGTGAGGCCGGAAAACCATATGCATTCACTCGCATTAGTTATTATGTCAAGTGGATCGATGAGACAATGAATAGTATGCGGAGTCTGCCACCTAAACCAAACTTACACGCACCACCTAAATATTAAATAAGGAGATATGTAAAACTATGTCGTTTAATTTTCAGTTCTGAAAGTTTGAAAGCTCCGATACTTGTTTCGATAAATATTTTCACTACATTGCTAACTGACAGAGCCCAGCAAAGCTCCGATACTTATTTTACATCGCACATTGTACATCGATTACGTTCTTGAAGCAGCGATTGTTTTAATGCTTATCGCGCAGCATAGCTTCGATACTTCGGTCATCGATATATTTTCTTAAAGCCTTTCGCATTGTTATTAGACAAAGCGATGTTAACGGTCAATATAAAACCGGAAAATAGCTGCAGTAACGACAGTATTTGGCTAAACACAGAGCGTATATTTAATAAAATGTTTTCACGAATTTTTAGAGCTAAACGCGAAGAAAAAGCAATAAAAAAGTACAATGAAGCGCTGGCCCGGTTGCGTCAACTGAAATATGCATTTAACGAAGGTAAACATTTTCAAAATGAATAAATGGCAAACAAACTTAAAATATAAATATATATTCATATCAAGCTGGGCAATTGCGAAAAGTTGACGAAAATACTGGTAAACCAGGAGACCAACCATTTGAATATCAGATCAGCGGAGATAGAGTTGAAAATGAGGACCATTATGAGAAAATAGGCGACGTGCGTAATTATTTGTATAATAAGAATTTTGATTTAATCGCAATATATTGCAGGAAGTCACAGAAATCGTTTACGGTTTGTTGGAACAAAATGGCCTGAAGAGGCTCACCATTCCCTTTCATATGCCATATAATCAGTCGAGTTTTATATTTACACAACCGGCACAGCCGGATTGTTCCAACAAATTGCTTGTTTTAATACACGGACTTGGAGCGGTTCGAGCAGGCCAATGGTCTCGTAGGTAATTACACACATACATATATATGTACATGGTATATAACGTTTGTATATAGTGTTTGGAAAATTTCACGACCTCAACATTGCTACATACATGCCAATAAATGTGAGATCTCTAGGGAGCATCGCTCAAGGCGATAAGGCTGTGTAGTGTTTGTGGAGTATTGTGGATAAAATCCAAATGCTTTTGAGTTGGTGTTATTGCTTTTTATACCCTGTACCCGTAGGGTAAAAAGGGTATATTAGGTTTGTGCAAAGTATGTAACATACAGAAGGAAGCATCTCCGACCCCATAAAGTATATATATTCTTGATCAGCATGACGAGAGAAATCGATCTAGACATGTCCGTCCGTCTGTCCGTCTGTCCGTCCGTCTGGATGAACGCAAGGATCTCAGAAACTATAAAAGCTGGAATAACCAAAGTTGGCATCTAGATTCTCCTAGGTCCGAGTAAGGACGAGTTTATTTTTTTTTTTAATTTTCCCCCCCTTCCCCCGCTACAGAATTTCGTCAATAGCGTCCACATTTCAAATGCTACCTAAACCAAACTTTGCACACATAATTTATATATAATTGTCTATTGTTGTTTAAAATTTTATTCAATTCGGTCAATTCTAAGAAAAGTTATTAGCGAAACAAATTTTCGCCAGTACAACCCCGCCAAACTGCAGCAACAAGTTCGCTCTTCTTCTTCCTCTTTTTGCTGCTGCTATGGGCGCATATAACTCAGTGACGCAAGTTTCCCTGGGTACAGGGTATTCCACTGTCGGGCTTGCTCGACTGTAGCATTTGAAATGTGGACGCTATTGACGAAATTCTGTAGCGGGGGAAGGGGGGGAAAATTAAAAAAAAAAAATAAACTCGTCCTTACTCGGACCTAGGAGAATCTGGATGCCAACTTTGGTTATTCTAGCTTTTATAGTTTCTGAGATCCTCTCGTTCATCCAGACGGACGGACAGACGGACGGACATGTCTAGATCGATTTCTCTCGTCATGCTGATCAAGAATATATATACTTTATGGGGTCGGAGATGCTTCCTTCTGTATGTTACATACTTTGCACAAACCTAATATACCCTTTTTACCCTACGGGTACAGGGTATAAAAATGTTTATCCAATTCGGTCAATTCTGTTAAAAGTTATTAGCGAAACAAATTCTCTACAGTACAACCCCCACAAACTGCAGCAACGAGTTCGCTCTTCTTCTTCCTCTTTTTGCTGCTGCTATGGGCGCATATAACTCAGTGACGGAAGTTTACCTGGGTACAGGGTATTACACTGTCGGGCTTGCTCGACTGTAGCGTTCTCTCTTGTTTTTCAAAAAACAATTGCAAATAAAATTTGAAGTAGGCTAAATGTCTCAAAATTGCTCGAAAATAAAGTTATTTTTATTTTAAAGGCAAATCGTGAGTCGATTTTTATTACTTTGAGAACAAATCTGTTCACACAACAATGTGATTACGTTTTTAATTAGACGTATATTTTGAATTATAAAAGCATTTTAGTCCAAATTGATAAAAACGGAATGCAGAGAATTGAATATTCCGATAAGATTGTTTTCAAAGTTCTTTAAATTATTCTTTCGTTCAGTTTAATTATAAACCACTCGTTGGACCATGGCTCACAGCTACCCTATATACGACGTGCTCAAAAACTTGGCTATGATATCGTCGTGACCAATACGAATGATAATATGCGATACTTTGTGGGTGTATACACGAGCACTGATGAAGTGGCAAATCCCATGCAGCATGCGAATTTCGTTTGGGAAAAAATTGTGATGGCCTCTAAACCGCAAAGCGTTGCAATTATAGCGCACAGCTATGGTGGTCATCTAGCGATGTTTTTGGTGAGTAAGGATCAATGTACATACTTTAAAAATATATTTTAAAGAATGGAATTTCAGTCGCGGCAGCATCAGGAGTTCTTTAAGGAAAAAGTGTTTGCTATAGCGCTAACCGATTCAGCGCACTACGATGTGCCAAAAGATAGCAGAGAATATTTACAAAAGGTGACCTGCAATTGGGCCTCCAGCGAGGAACCTCTCGACACTGTATTACCCATACCAGATGACGAAGTCCATAAAGTTTCCGCTGGCCATGCCAACCACGAGTGGACTTCGTACACGGCCATGGAGTCGGTAATGAAATACATCGAAGAGAAGCACGAAGAGCACCTTCGTAAGGTGGCTAATGTTTAAGCACATCATATTTTCTGTCGTATTTTTTTATTTTTGCAAATATATCAAATATATTTTATCAAATTTATTTTATCAAATTTATTTTATGCGTATATATCTTGTATATTTGACACTGATCCCTTTTCTCTAAGGACAAACACAAACTATCGATTTGCTTTGCATAAATCAAGCGTCTTCCTCGTTGGTCAGCTGCACCCAACTCCCCATACCCTCATGAGCACTCAGACATGTCAGGAACACTTACGTCAAAGTCATTTAATTTGATTTTCGACACTTTGGCACATTCCATGCGAGCTAATCATGGTGATGATGGTTGATGTATTGGCATCGATAAAACAAAAATCCAGCAAACAAACTCCCAAACGACACTTGAGTGGAGAGACTTTAATAAATGTTGATAAAAAAGCGCAAATGTTACGTGAATGGGTGGCCAGGGGGTTGGTTGACTTTGGTTTTTATGCGTTCTAATGTTGGTCAGCTACCCCTTAGACAGCGGCGGGCTTCATCATACAGTTTTCTTAAGTGCGTCGTAAGAAATAATAAAGATTTGGTGATTGTGTGTAAGGGATTAGATTTTTTATGAGGGAGTACGAAAAAATGTATGCATATTAGTTGAGTTTTAGCAAATCGTATTTAGGTTTTTAAGGGTGAATTACAGTTTTTAAAAGCATTTAGTAACACCTATAAAAAGAGTTAAAAGTTAGATTTATAAAAAGCTGAATTGTTATTTTTTTTTACAAAATAGCTACTTTGGAACTAGCACATTCGTTATATTGCGCGGCAAATGGAAAGCTCAAAAGCTCTCTGGCATATATAGAAATAAGCTTGTCGATATCGATAGTCCGATAGAAACAGTCAGCTGGTGGGCTGACGAGAACGCGACTAATAAGCCGGCAGCATTTAACAAATATAAACTAACTCTACGTTGTTAGTTCGTTTTAATAAATAAAATCGTCAATTTGGTAACATGGAGGCGGCATCGCAGGAGTACGATAAGGCCATTGCCCTATTGCGGGAATTTGGATATGGTTTCAATGCCTGTTGGTAGCTTTACAAATTTCAGGCGATTTTATTTCTTATAAATTTGTATTTCGTTATAGCGGGACAGCTGCGACAGATTGATGCTACTAGTGGGGAACCTGGGGAGAAGCCGTTCGAGTTCAAGGTCAGCGAGGATTTTGACCAAAACCAAAGGCACTACGAAAAGCTGGGAGATGTGAGTTTTTACCTCTAAACATACATACATATCAATACATATGTACATACAATTGCATATTTCTTGCAGATAATACAAGAAATCGTTTATGGTTTGCTGGAAAAGAATGGTCTGAAACGTCTCTATATTCCCTTTCGTACGCCTGCCGAGCAGGCAAGTTTTGTATTCACGCAGCCGGAGGAAGTAAAGAAATCAAAAAAGTTGCTAGTTCTGATAAACGGCAGTGGAGTTGTGCGTGCCGGTCAGTGGGCCAGAAGGTACTTATCTTAATTGCCCCTCATTGACATGATTATTGGTTAATTTTTAATATTTTCTTTCACGTTTCAGTCTGATTATCAACCATTCTTTGGATCATGGCTCTCAATTGCCTTATATACAGAGGGCTCAAGAGCTTGGCTACGATATTGTCGTTACGAATACGAACGATAATGAGCGATACATTAATGGAAAGTTTAGTCGCATTGAAGGCGTTGCTACTGCCCTAGATCATGCCAATTATGCATGGGAACATATTGTAATGGCCTCGGATCCAGAGAGCGTTGCCATTGTGGCGCACAGCTATGGTGGCTATTTAACAATTCAATTGGTAACAAAATATATACAAAATAAATATATAAGACTTTTCAACCTCCCTCTCCTGTTGCAGTCAAAGATGCACAAAGAGTTCTTCAAGAAGAAAGTATTTGCTATAGCTCTGACCGATTCTTCGCACGGTAGCCTGCCGGATGACAGCAAAGAATATCTGCGTAAGGTCGCCTGTAATTGGGCCTCTTCTGAGAAGCCTCTCGATGCGAAACTGCCAACATCCGATCGCGATGTGCCACGCATCTCTGCAGGCCATCCCAAGCACGAGTGGAGCTCGTATGCAGCTATGGAGTCTGTAATGAAATATTTCGAGCAAAAGTACGAACAGTTTACTCGAGAATAGGGTATACGACTGGTGAACAATAATGTTATTTCTATGGAAATCAATAATGGAATTACGCGCATTATATGCTATATTATACATGGTAGACACTTCATAATAAAATTAATATGTTTATAACACAATTTATACTTTCAACAATGTTTTAACTGCCTAGCGTAGCCATATTGGTACCCAGTTGAAGGGTCTAAGGGGCTTACATCGAACATAATAAACTCGACTTTAGCTTCTCCGTGTATATTGTGGCTTTTACAATTCAGAGTCGTTCATTATGAATAATGGTGACTATATCCTCAGTGGACATTTTCAAAACGCGGAGTTTTCATAAACGTTTTGGCCTAATTGCACTTGACTTAAATTACAAATTTTACTTGGCTGTGGGCAAAGCAATCGAAACAACGTAATACTTCTTTTCAACAGCCAGATTGTAGTTTCTGCTGGATTGTTTTTAATTCCATACTCTTAAAATAGCTTTCGAGTTGAATCTGCAATCACTTAAGAGATACCCATAAAAAAGATACCCAATTAAGATCGATATCTTCCTGTTCTTTATAATTAATTTTTACGATACATTTACTATAATTTACTAAATTGTGGAGATTAAATTGTAGATGTAGAATATAATACGAGTGTGTATATGTATAACGAAGAAATTCTACGAATAGTTTATGGTTATTTCATTTTCAACTTTTTCAAAAAGCAACACAGGATATTAGCGCCCTACTCTAACTATTCTGATGTATTAGGTTGTAATCATTTTTGAAAATAACACAAAAAGTATTTAATTGTTGAGTTATTTGAGACAGCTTGCTATTTGTTTGATTTATAAACGCTTTCTTTTAAATTGTAAAAACATGCCCAAAAATTATCATTATATACATATGTATATTGTACATTTTTTTATGTAGGTTGGAAGCTGAGCAAATTTTAAATGGATAGCTTAATAATAAATTTTATACTTTTTTAATAACTTACTCGCAAAAAAGTATATGTATAGTTTAATGTGCACCTTTATTCTTAAGCTGGGATTCTATTTAAGTACTATATGTATGTACAGAAGAAAGTCGTTTTATTGACAGGATGCCAAAGACTATCATAGGAGTTCTTCAGATTTGAAGCAAGCGTCGTTTAACTTTTGCATTAAAATGAATTTAATGCCCACAAAGCGCACATTTTGCGAAGCTGCCAAAAGGCAGTGCAGGGCTCCGCAAACTCCCCTTCCCATCCCTATCCCCATTCCCCACCCACCAAACAAAAAAGCAAGTCCAACAGACGACCCAACACCCACATGGGTGTGAGCAAGAAGGCAAGAAAAACGACGAAGCGAACGGTTGGCTGGCAACCCTACAAAGAGTCCCCACTTTTTGTGACTGTGTGCATTTGTGTATGTGTGTGTGAGTGTGTGTGACTGTACATTATCGCTGTCATGGCCGCAGTCATGGCTTCTGCTCTCCACCTTAGACTTTTTATATGTATTCGACATCGTTGATGGTCCTATGGCAGGCTGCTATCTACACATTGAGTCACGAGTACATGCATACATATACCTACCTACACATACACACCCACACACATACAGAGAAAGGGCGTGCACGACGAGGATGACAGTAGTCGTTGAGTCGAGTCGAGTCGGTGCTCGAAGTTCGTGTATCTTTTCGGTGGCATGGCTTTGGCTTTCCACACGAGTTCAGGAATGGGTCATGCGCCTGGTGGCTGTATCTGAAAATCTATGTATATATGTACATACATATATACTATATATACATTTTGTGTGTGTATATATTATAGTATATGTATATGGAAGAGTAGTAAATAAGCTGAAACGACTAAAATCTTTGGTAACTAAATACATAAAACGGCAAACATCATTTGCAGGTGCCTTAAATTTAAGGATAAAATTTATTTTTACACATAGAACTCTTAAGAAAAGTCCTTTAGATATCCGTTTCACGCCAAAGGATGTACAATGTGTGGCAATTACTTAAAATAATCCTTTTTCCTTACGCTTATTTGATAAAATCTCAGTCCGTTCTCACATACTCAGCCAATAATCGGGCAACATATTGCGCCATAACCCTTCAACTGTTGACTGGCCGTCGGTATCTCAATCTGAAGACATTAGTTAGTTGGGTGTTGTTGTTGTTGGATTTGGATGCAGTAAAAAACAAAGATTTTCATTTTAGATTCGTGTTTGTACAGCAATTTGTTTTCTTGTAATTGGATCATTTATGTGCGCGTCCTTTCAGGACTAAATATTTTGCTATGGGCTTGGCAAACTTAATAGAGCTTCAATCAAGGGCTTTAAGTGTTCACAAATATTACTATAGAATTGAATAAGGAAATATGGTTTACAACATATTATTCACGCTAGTTATCAAAAACCAATCGACAACACTTTATTCTCCCAATTCTAAACTTTTTTCAAATTTAGTTTATATGGTATTATTTCAATTGTTTTTATTACCAATAAGAAGTCAGAATAAATATATAGCTTGAAGAAAACTTAAAAGGGACTCACATTCATTTCCAAAAACTGTGTAAATTAATTATGCATTTAATTGTAAATATTCAAAATATAAAGCGCGTCCAATTAGAATAGAAATTCTTTGCTATCATATAGTTTCCTTTCACTAAACTTATATGGTATTTACTTTTCAAAGCCGACCATAAAGTTAATCATATCTCGTTCGACGTACCGAATACTGAGATCTGCTTTGAGTAATTTTTTCACTCGTCAAAAGTTGTTGCCTGATGGGAAGATATGTATATTATATATATATTAAAGAGAAGAAAGCGGCTGCCTAATCGGACATCAAAGGATAAAAGATTTAGTAAAAAGATCTGGTAATCCGAAAATAAATTCAAACAATTTTTTGTTGAAATGTAATTACAAAAGAGATTTCCTTCTGTAATAAACCATTTTACATTTCATTGCCTTGGTCTACTTAATTGATTTTATATTATTTTTATAGGTTTATTTTTTATTGCAATAATAATAACAAAAAAATGAATATTGTAAAATATAGTATTAAAAAAATTATAAAAAAACATTTTTAATTTGAATTTAATTTTATGGATTATTTAAAAGAGTAGCAATTTGGTTTGCAAATTATTCACTTTAGTGGCGTTGCGTATTCTAATTCTACGTACATATAATATACAAAATAATATCAAGTGTATAATAAATAATCTAGTAATATTAGCATTATTTATCATTAAAGAAATTATATAAATTTTAAGCAAATTAAATTGCCTTATCTTTATGTATGTATCGAATAACATAAATCCTTTCAAAAATATTTGAAGCACCTTTACAAACAATTAAAAGTTATTTAACTGTAAGGTTTTCTTGTTCAAAAAGAAATATCAAGTTTTTAAGTCTTCTTTAAATCTTTAGGAATTCGTTATTAAATTTCTTATTAATTAGATTGGCAAACAATTCCTGGGTAATAGTGGATGGAAGAACGAATGCATTTGTTTTGTACTTGTTGAAAAATTTCTAATGATGGTATTCATAAATCAAAATTGCAATTTTTAAAAAATGTCCGCACAATTTCCGCTACAAGCATTGTTATTGTGCTTTACTTTATTGCTTGAAAAGTTCAAGCGATGTCATTCAAAAAGTCATAAATAATAATGTTTTCCAATAAATGTTCACATATGAGCGAACACACACTGAGAGACTCACTTGGTGAGCAGTTCGCAAAAGCCCCAACCATATAACCCACACTCCACACCCACCCACGGATTTCAACAGCTACAAGTGGAAACTCTCTGTGGGCGCCGTATGCGAGTGACCGTTGTTGAACCTGAACCTTGGTTCGGGGCTGGTGGCTTTCCGGGTAAAGGGCGTCCAGGACTCATATCGTAACTTACAAGGTCAATTTTGGTAAAAAACCATTAACAATTTTCCTTCTCGAGCATGTACTTTTTATAATTTAATACTCGTGTGTGACGAATTTTTATGGCTGACAAATGATTGATGCGTTTTGCCATTTCCTGTAAATATCATCAAAACAAAAATGCGAACCAAAGAAAAGCGAGCAAGAAGGCAAAACCATCGAGACTTGTCCTGGATACTTAGTAAGTGGAGTTTAAAGCCATCGCCTGCTTTAAAGACAATTTGTAGCGCTTTCTGGGCAGGCAGTTGAACAATGGGAAGTGCTGAAATGTAAGTTTAATGCAAAAATAATACCAAATAAGATTAGATAGCATTGTGTTTTGAAGCATAGTGGGCGGGCTGAACCCGCCACAAGGGCTAACAGAGAACAAGAAATGTTACAAATTGCGCTATTTGCACCCCTTTTTCGAGTAAGGCTAAGCCGCACAGTGGGGCAAATGGGTAGCTTTTCAAAGAGATGCATTTCTCGTTTAAAAAAATGCGTTCGAAATAAATTCCAATAAAGTAGTTGAAAAATAGAGCTTTAAAACAATAAACTAAGATTTCTCTATCAATTTGGCAATAAAGTTTAAGTTTTAAAACAAAATATAACTTTATAATTACTGTATTAAGAAATTTAAAAGGGAGACTAATTTCTTTTGCTTTTTTGCGGTTTTTTAATCCCGCGCGGTTGCCAGTTAATTAGAGCTTCGAATTCAAATTGCGGCAAACTTTTGGGGCTTTAAATTCAGTTATGCTGTAAATACCTTACTTAGAAGAAAAATCCTGCTTAAATTGGTAGCTAAATCAAACTAAAAGTGTGTATAGGGAGTGGTTAATGGTTAAAATGCAATTTTCTTTGTCAGCCACAAGTGTCGAGCCAATTTTTCGTTATCAGCAAATTTCTGCAGAACAAACCAGGAACACACCTTTAGCAGAATAAATTATTTGGTTAAAATGCGATGAATCGCTGATATTTAATATTTGGAGATACTTAATTAATCGGATTCTTTTTAAAGGCAATCCCTTTGTCGAATGCAACTTCGGTAATCACAAATTTTGACTCTCTAACATGTTAATCTTTCAAGTCATTGAGACCAGTCTAGATAGGCGATTATCACTCGTGTACCAATTATCAGCATAAAATTGTTTAATCAAATAAAACATAACTTAATATTTCGATCGTCATTTTTATACCGATAGCAACCCGTTACTTTGTGTGCGATGAATCGGCTTTTATCTATTCGATTCTCATAAAATTTTGACGGGATGAAAATAAAAAATGTATTTATCTAATCCTTTAAGTCTTTATATAGTTCATTAGCTCGATGGGAATATACTTTAATTCATGAATACCTTTGATTGTTCTTATCCTACTGATACTCCAATAACTTCAAAATACGAGTTTTACAATTTCAAAGACGACTTGGTGTTAACTTTGTTGATATGTATTGTAGAAGGCACTAATGAGAATCTTAACAATCTGTGCCATTCGAAACTGTTACAAATCAGTGTAGAGCGTGCATGATGGCCAATTTTTTACGGTTATGCCATCATTATGGAATTATGAATTATATGGTATTGTTTTCGATTAGATAGTCAGAAACGATTAAGATGTAAACATGTGGACCACTTTTTTGTTGCTGTGTTCCTTACTTTTTGGTTATATACGCGCTTCAGGTAGGTTCATTGCAGTACTAGATTGGTATTCAAAATCAAGAATAACATTTTGTAGAATGTCCACCGAACTTCGAAGAAATTAATTCCAATTGCTATTGGATCCGAACGGATCTAAGACACGAGGTGAGCATAAATGGCGTTGATTTCCATTTAAAAACTATTTAATTATATTAATTCAATAAGGTGAACTGGTATAAGGCCGATATGATGTGCCGTGAAAAGCGTGCCAATCTTATTTATATTGAGAGTGAAGAAGAATTTAAAATCTTCAGTGAGCGCTTCATGGCCCAAAATTGTACCAATACATTACCCGCTTGCAGATTCTGGACAGGTGGGAACTGTTTCATAAGGAATAGGATGTTTTTGTGGCACGCAAATGCCAAAAAATTAGAAAGGTCGTACTTTAATAAGGGCGAGCCCAATAATATAGAGAAGGAAGAGAAGTGTATAGATTTCCGTTATGATAGACAGACAAATAATTCATTTGGCTTGGCTGATGCACCGTGCCTTTGGACCCATGGAAGTTTTATTTGTAAAATCTCTGTGGAGAAAAGTACTTGCTTTAATAGAAATGCATAGGGCCAGACTCGTAAAATAAAGAAGGTAAATAATTTACCGATGTCCGAAAGGAAAAAAAACTATAAATAACTTATTTTGATTTCGAAAGATTATTAACTCGATCGGTTTATATTAATTTTTTGACATATCACAGATATAGTTATTTAACATCCTTATAGATAAATACATTAAAAAAAAAATGCATAGCAAAAATTATTTATATAAATATTAATTATAAATATTTAATATTTCGTATTTAAATCAAATATACTGTAAAAAAAACTGATTTAAATATGAAAAATATTCCAAGCAAAGTGTAAATCATTGTCTTTAAAGTATGTCCTGCACAATTTAATGTTAAACCATATTTAATAAGCGTCCACTTTAAATAAAATAACTTTATTCCATAGTAAATTTAAATATTTTTCTCAATGACTATTTTCAATTCTATTAGCTTTTAAATATTTTGCCTTAGAGCTGGTGGAATTAAAAGTTATTAACAAAATACACTTTAATGAAATGCAATTGTATGTTCAAGTGTTTTTTTTTTTCGAATAATTAATATGTTTTAAAGATTTTGCATCTTATCAATATTTGTACAGTCCCGATGCGCAAATAATTTGTTTGCAAAAAAAATGTATATAGAATGTTAATTTTTCAAGCTATAGGGATGCCTTGAAACCAAATGATTGTATAATTAAAAAAAAAACATCTTAAGTTAAGTTATGTACTTTTAATTGACTTAATTTAATTTTTAGCAGCTTTTTTGTTTCATTCAGTAAAGATTCAGATATAATGTACTCCTACATCTTTTCGGAAATAGAAAAAAGAAGGTGAGTTTTGTTATAGATTTTAAAATTTTTTACAGTTTTGTAAACGATGTGGGATAAAATATTTATTTATTATTTGATTGAATACTAATAATATTAATATTTTTAGGTATTATATAATGGGTAGCATTATGTTAAAACTATTAATTAAACATGTTGGTAGTCTTCAAGAACATTTGAATTACAAATAAGAATAAATAGCAACTGAAATTTAATTTTCTGCTACAAGAACGTGCTCGCATTTTAACTAACTACAATCTGCATATGCTCCACAGTGCGCGAAAAATGAAATTTTAAAATTCGAGCGCTACGATATAACAAAGCCACACAAATCACAGCAAATACAATAACAACAAAAAACGAAAAGGGAAACCCTCTGGACAAACGTAAATGTTGTACAATGTTAAACTTATTTGCGGCTTACGTGTTGGCTGGCGGCGGTGCGGCGACGAAAAGGACCTTAAAGCCAATAAAACGATTTTTTTCACAACACAATCTATGAATTGTAAATGTCCTGCGGAGAGAAGACATTTCAAGTGGTGGCAATGGCAGCTAAAATTTGCTTGAAGATGCGCCGATGACAGCTTTTGCTGTGGGACTGGCCCGGTCGCGATTTAAGATAATAGTATCATCAACACCAGCAACCGAGCGAAGGGATGGGAGTTGGGGAGGGAAGGACAAAAAGGACAATACTGAGGCGTTGCTTGAGCATTGTGCGGCTTCGTTTTGGGTGTAATGCCAACAATAACAAAACCAAGACGTTGAAACCACATTGCTGGCTAATTTGCATGCATTTTTCGATTGCGGATGTTGCTTTGGAGAGGAACTGAAACTTTAAGCTTTGAAGTTGTTGCTGCCAACTGAATGATTTTTCACGCATATTTAAAAAACATTTAAAAAACCATTAAATGTTTTCTCTTCTTTCTCTTATTTTTTCTCCATATTTTTGCTGTTGTTGTTGTTGGTGACCAACCTGCGATGCCCTCGTCACACCCCATTTTTTATTTGTTTTTGCGTCGCGGCTTTTCACAACTTTTTTTTTTTTTGTTTTGTTTCTGCCGCCGCCGCCGCCGCTCTCTAATCTTTGCGCCATTTATTTACAGTTGATTAACACGCGACTGACATTTGTTTGACTTTTTCTTTTGTGGCTGCCGCTTTTACAGATTTGGGGCCCACAAGCAGGCAGCCAGCCACACAGACGGACAGAAAAACGGGCTGAGAGGCAGAAATTAAAATGTGAGTGCACCACAAAAATATAAAGTCAGTCATGTCCTTTGGCATATTTCCTGTGCAGTATGTGTGACAGCGTTTTTTTTCCTCCTTTTTTGGGCCTTGCTTTGTGCGCTTCCGCTATGTATTTATGCTGTCTTTTTTTTATTCACAAAAATTATTCATTTGTAGAAAATTGTGCGACCGTCGTCGCCAAAAGTGGCCGCAGGCCAAACTGATTAATAAACCAAACGTCAAATGTGCACAATGCACACACACACACATACACACACACACACGCATCATAATAATCATCAGCAGCGTTATGGAGGAGGAACAGCCACCCACCGGAACGGTTGGTCACAGCTGTCAGTTGTGTGTGGCGGCAGCGGCGGCGCACAGTGGGATCAAGGAGCAGTGTGTGTGCGATTAATTTAAAGTCTCAACATTCAAGCTATGAAAAACATGAGAAACATAAGCACTAACTGGATGTAATTGTCGAATTTGAGAAATACGATATCTAATCTAGAAATTACTTGGAGAATAAACCCAGCACATTTTGGGAAAAAATACATAGCTTATATCTTTCATTTGGAAACGCTTAGAGCCATAATTGATTAAAGATACATTATAATTAAAAAATTAAAAAAAAACAAGTCGGGTGTCCCGGCTATGAAATACTCTGTACATATACTTAGTATAATTATAGAAATTAAACAAATTACGAAAATAAAAAAAATTTCGATCGATACATAATCACTAACTGGAGATTTTTGCCAAATTTGAAATTCCAAGAAATATAACATTTAGAGAAAATCACGATTTGTGGTAGAGATGTGGGGGTGGAGGGGAATTCCACATTTTCTGCGTATCATATAAGGCATCTTGGACTTTAAATTTGATGTCCCAAAGTCTTATAGCCTCCGAGATATAGGCGATTATATGAACGGCGTGACGCAAGGGAAGTGGGTGGGAAAATCAAAAAAATAAAACAAACTTGTATAGCGTACACACATAATGCATATTTGTGCAAAATTTTGTGTTTCTAGCTCTTATAGTTTCTGAGATCCAGGTGTTCATACGGACGGACGGACAGTCAGACAGGGCTATTGTCACGCTGATCAAGAATATATATATACTGTGCAGGGTCTGCCACGCCTCCTTCTTCCTGTTACATTTCTCATTTCCCGCAAACCTAATATACTCTTGTACATTTTATGTACAGAGTATAAAAAATTTTTACAAAAAAACAATTTTATGCGACTCAGTATCATTATCACTCCCACTGTGCGTCGGCCGCAAATTCAAATGTTTTTTCGCCAATATGGCGACTGACTCGTGTGGCGGGCACTTCCTTTCGATTTCATGTTCAAGTGCAGGACTTGTCTTGTGCAAAAAATAGGCCTGTCATGACTGCTACTGTTGCTGTTGTTGTTGTAATTCAGCTGCTTAGACCGTATTGTTGTCAACTTGACTTTTGAATAGAATTCCATGTTTCATATTCTTTTTGCGCTTTGTCGGGGGCGTTGGCATTGTCATCTGTTGGGTCACAGTTGGCTGCCATTTGGCCAACAAATTATTTGCATATTAAAAATGGCACAAGCACTGACATTGAACTTATTTTTGTTGTCCCCCCCCCCTACATCTGCTTTAATAGAATCTGTCATAAAAAAAAAGTTGCCTAACTAGCAACTACTAGTTCCAGCTTCTTCAGCCATTGTGTAGTGAGGTGCTTTGAGGTGCCCTTTGGGCATACAATCACGTCTGATTTATAAACATGAAGATTTATGCGATGCCGCATGTCAGACACACGCCCACACACTCAGAGCACACATAAAAATGATAAGCAAACGAAAAAAAAAAAACAACAACAACAACAACAGATACTTCACATATTAATGGCACACATAATGGTTTTATTTATGTAGTGTTTAGTGTTTCCCCATTTGAAACAATATACAATGTCTGAGTTATCCTCTCCCTAGGCCAGTCAAGTCGATTTCGCTATCCATAGCGAATCACACATACTAGTACTATGCAAGTCCCGCTGGAATACCAATCTCAGTCTCAGTCTGAGTTTGCCTTCTGGGCCAGCGCTGTTTATCATTCATTAATCATCTTCATTGGCAGGGCGTATTGGAATGATGTGTTTTTTTTTAGTGTTTTTTCTTTCATATAAAAAACTTAGCAGTAGCTTGAGAGATCACATTCAGCTGAAGGTGGAGGAAATCAAAACTGTGCTCCATAGTTAACTCCGAGCATATCTCTGACCACTAATGGCTAAGTCGAAGCATAGCTTGACGGACCGGCAATCAAATTTTACCCACTTGGTTGAAGATTTTCCTTTCTCTCTTTTTGATAATTAAGTAATTTTATTGGCACTTAATTGGAATTAGGTTGTCTATTCTACTAACAATTTCTTTCAATTTGTTAGGTCTAAATATAAAAATTAAAATATAAAACAAGCGTTAACAAGCTGGCACGCCTGATTTATATTTTTTGAAAAATTCAAAATTATCTGATGCCACTGAAGAGGGTGATTTTCTTCATATTAAAACATCTCAAGGCAATAAGCTCTATTCTAATAATTGGAAAACTTAAGCGAGCTATAAGCACAACAGAAACTAATTCGATAAGGCGTGGAAACTCAAAATTAAGCCAAAAAGCAAAACTTACTGAATGACACTTTAACGAAAGTAGACGAGGCATTGATGTCAGGTTGTCGACCAAAAAATCGTCCATCTTCTTAAAGAGTCAGTATTCTATACATATAGTTTTTCTAGAAATAACTTAAATTCAGGGAGGACTGACATACAGTCTTGTCCAAACTAGGTTGGGCTTAGTTGGCAGCTAAAATGAACTGAGACTGACCAGAGAGATTACCAATTCCTTTTACTTAAAATGTAATATGCGAATATAATATATATTCGTGTATTAGAGATCATGTTTCGTTGCCACATATTGTGGTAAGAACGTCTGCTGCCACATCCCAAATTCTTCAACAGAAACCATTTCTTTTAGCTTAGAATGTAAAGAGAGTAAAATTAA